AGCGTTTCACAGGAAGTGTCTGGGAGGCATCACCGCAGAACCAACCAGGTTGGAAACGACCTTTAAGATCATCAAGTCCAACCATCACCCAGCACTGCCGAGCCCACCGCTCAACCATGTCATTGAGGGACCGGCAACCACCGACAGAACAGGGCACCCGCTCCCTCCTCGGCCGGCGGCTCTGGAGGCAGCACAAGGTCCGGTCCGCAGCCTCGGGGGATCCCTCCGGGCCATACCTGAAGGCCGTGGGCCGCTCGCTGCACCGGGCCGCGCGTCCGCCGCCGGCGCGGCTCGCCCCGGCAAGGGGCTCCTACCGCGGCCCCCGCGCTGAGCCGCCCGCCGGAACGGAGCGAACAGGCGGCGGGCGCACCCGGACGCGGACCGGCGGCGGGCGGGGCGGTGCAGCGCGGCGCGGCGCTCCCCGCTTCCGGCGGGGCTGACAGGCGGGCGGGCCGGGCGGCGGCAGGTAATGGCAGCGGGTGGTGCCCGCGGGGCGCAGCCGGGTCCATCGGGCAGCAGCGGGGGCCGGGGCGGCCTCTCCTTGGTGCTGCCGGGGCGGGGAAGGGACCGGGACCGGGACCGGGACCGGGGCCGGGGCCAGGCCCGGAGCCCCAGCGCCTGAGCCCCTGCCCGCGTTATTGCTGCGGGTCGGGGTCCTCGCTTCGGGGTCGGCGGGAAGAGCCCGTCCGGTGCCGCGCTGCGGGTGCCCGGGCGGGGGGAGCGGAGGTTTAATCCCTCCTTTGGTGCTGGCCGTGGGGCCGGGTTGTGAGGGTACAGCGCGGTGTAAGAGTGCGGGGGTCGGAGGGAGCTTTGCCGTCCCTTCGGGGGCCCAACGGTTCAGTGTCCCCCGTTATGCATGCGCTGTGGGGATCGGCGGGTTAACAGTGCGGATAGCGAGCCTTACAGTCTCTTTGTTTGGAAGCTGAAGTTGTCTCTGGGTCGCCACAGGAGCTCGGTCTAAGGGAATGGGAGAGAAGCAGCTGTGTGGCGGAGCGGAGGAGGGGTGCAGCCCCTGTAGGGCCGTGCTTGCCCCCGTTTCCTCACATGCTCCGCATGTGATCCTGCACGGCGCTGGCGGCAGCCCTCAGTACTTGGTGCTGCTGCTCCACGGAGGAAGCAGAGCTCAGCGCTTTTGCTGTCAGAGCCTGCGGAGAGCCAGCAGAGGAGGGTGGGTGACTGCCGGCTCGGGTGGGTTTCCAGCAGGCACGGAGCTGTTTTCAGCAACGGGTTTGGGATGACTGGGGAGGGAAGGCTGCTCGTTGAAAAGTCTGTTACAGTGACTATAGAATCCCAGGCTGGTTTGGGTTGGAAGGGACCTTAAAACTCATCCAGTTTCAACCCCCTGCCACGGGTAGCGACTCCTTCCGCTAGGGCAGGTTGCTCCAAGCCCCGTCCAACCTGGCCTTGAACACTGCCAGGGATGGGGCAGCCACAGCTTCTCTGTGCACCCTGTGCCAGCGCCTCAGCACCCTCATAGTGAAGAATTTCTTCCTATGTCTGATCTCAGTCTCCCCTCTGGCAGGTTAAAGCCATTCCCCCTTGTCCTGTCCCTGCATGTCTTTGTCAAAAGTCTTCCTTCAGATTTCTTGTCGGCCCTTTCAGACAATGGGAGCTGCTCTAAGGTCTCCCCAGAGCCTCCTCTTCTCCAGGCTGAGCAAGTCCAGCTCTCTCAGCCTGTCTCCTCATAGGAGAAGTGCTCCAGCCCTCTTATCATCATTGTGGCCAACTTTGGACCTGCTCTAGCAGCACCATGTTGGAGAATGATAATGAGATACCAAAGAGTCTCCCCAAGCAATAGTGGGGGAGGCTGTTGTGGGTTAGTTGCTCACAGTGACCCAAACAAAGCTCTTCTGGCTCTTGACCCTTTGATTCTTTCAGGGTGGTATGAGGATAGTGATGCCCTCAGCAGTATCATCGATCTTGATGTGAGGAAGGACTTGGGCTGGACTTCCTCAGTCTCAGTCCTGGAGCTCATTCACATGAGCGAGTAAGTTGAACGTCTGCTGAATAACTGCTTCCTTTTGTTGCAATGTGCTTGATATTAAGACTACAGCAAAGTGCAGGGGTTTGATGGATGTGTACAGGAAAAGACATTTATCCAAGTGAAACAAAACTGGGAGGAGGTGCACATAGCAACAGTCAGAAAAATAATAGAGCCATCCAGAACTGGGATTCCCTTGGGTCTGAGTGTTGCTTGTTAATCAGGCAGGGAATGGCGCATGTAATTCTTCCTTGTGTGTAAGCACCGGTCCAGGGTGTGGTAATACATGCATGGACTGATTTCGATGTGTAGATTTATTATTGAATTAATAGCACATCTGAAAGGAAAACAGGAAAAGGAAACTGCCAGACAGGTGCACCTTGGAAATTAATGATGGGAAAGAAGTGAAACTGGAATTGCAGAAAAACACAGTGTGCATGAGCAGCAGCTACCAGAACTTCAGAGATACAAGGGAACTGTCTTCCCTGGTTAAATATTGGTGGTGTCTTGTGTAAGGAATCTCCAGCTCAGCAGAACAGTCTGTTCTCCAGAGCATCTTTTTGTTATCAGAGAATCAGTTTTTATTAGACAACAAGTATTCAGGTCTACCAGTGTAGGTGCAGAAAACATATGCTTGGAAAAATAGAAACAGTTGTCTCTTTAGTGCCTGGCAATCAGTAAATGCTTCTGATGTCAAAAGTGTGATTCTTTAGTTTTTAAATGTTTTTTTTACTTTTTGAACCTGGGTGTGTCATTTTTCTTTCCTTATGACTGGCTATACAGGGTGCATCACTTGCATCTTGCCACAAGGATGATCAGGGGACTGGAGCACCTCCTGTATGAAGAGAGACTGAGAAAGTTGGGGCTGTTCAGCCTGGAGAAGAGAAGGCTGCGTGGAGACCTCAGAGCAGCTTCCAGTATCTGAAGGGGGGGTATAGGGATGCTGAGGAGGGACTCTTCATTAGGGACTGTAGTGATGGGACAAGGGGTAACGGGTTAAAACTTAAACAGGGGAAGTTTAGATTGGATGTAAGGAGGAAGTTCTTTACTGTGAGGGTGGTGAGGCACTGGAATGGGTTGCCCAGGGAGGTTGTGAATGCTCCATCCCTGGCAGTGTTCAAGGCCAGGTTGGACAGAGCCTTGGGTGCCATGGTTTAGTGTGAGGTGTCCCTGCCCATGGCAGGGGGGTTGGAACTGGATGATCTTAAGGTCCTTTCCAGCCCTAACTATTCTGGGATTCTAAGATGTTTATCTAAAACAAGTGGGCTTCTTGAGTTGTGTTATATCTGGTGGAATGCTGCTTTTTGATAACTGTTTTATACTGGTACAGATGGACTTTCTGCTCAATGACAGGTCCTGCTTAAGGGTACGTTTTGAGTACACAGGGAGAAATCTCATGACACTGCACTGTCAGGAAGTATCTATCCGGTTATACCAAGATCCCCAAGTAGTTTCTTACATCCAAACTCCAGGTGTCTCCTCCTCAGTACCTGCTAGTTCCCAGGAATTTAGAGGATTATATTTAAACTGTTCCAGAGTTACCTGATGTGAGACCTGTGCTTTTGTCTTTTCCACTGTTGGGAAATGGCTGGGGAAAATTCTGCTGTCTGGAAGCTACAGTCTGGTTCACAAGGACGTGGCATCCAAGAAGTCTTCTGCTCTGGATCCTCCTTCCATTAACATTTCTGCTATGGAGCCCTAACCTAGAGCCGAGGAATGGAGCTGTCTGCCTGGCTGTGAAGAGCATGTTGGAGCTATCTGGGGAGTCTGGTCTGCCTTTCCAAGGGGTAGAGAAGGTTTTGGCAAAAGCACTGCCCACCAATTTTTTTTTCCAGTGTGGAATTGTAAGGATCCTACTAACGGCTTCCTTCTTCCACAAGATGCCACACTGGGATTAATTTTATGCCTAAGGGGAAATCACCCAGTGGTGTTTAAGAACCAGCTCTTCCACTTCTGACCAAGTGCTTCAAATTGGCTCCGAAGCCAAGTTGTGATCAGTGTAGGGACAAGTGAGGACGCTTAGTGTCTTGCTGACCCTATGGCAGTACTATCACTGCTCTGTAGGAAGATTTGGCTCTGGTCCCCATGTGCTTCAGGACCTTGCTTTGGGGACACTTGCTACTGGGCATCTCCAAGAATCTCATATGAAAGGCATCTCTGGATGGCAGCAGTTGGATACAGGCCCTTACCAGGGCCGGGAAGTGCCTGGAAGCTGGGAATGCTGAGGGGCTGCCCTGAGGGGCTGTGGAGGCTTCCTTAGCATGGGGTGCTGTCTTGTGGGCTGCTGAGCTGAACAGGGAATGCTTTTGAGCTCACTGAGTCATAAGAATTGGTGCCTGGTGTTACCATAGAAATCAGATCAGCTGCTAGGGGTGGGGAGTCCTTGTCCCTTGGCTCCGCTGCTGCTTGCATCGTTCCAGCATGAGCTCACTGTGTAAGGGGACCTGATTTCTTGCTCCTTCTCTCTTCAGGATCAGAGGGGGTCAGATAGCTCTCACAGCCCTCACCGGAGGGCAGGGAGTAGTTTTCCTTGGGTGTCTGCTTGTGTGCAGTGGTCAGACCCTGTGTTTGCTGTGGTGCTTTGCTGATGCGCTGCCCATCTATGTTTTGCTTGTTTGTATTTCAGGGAACTTCATTTGCTTAGCAACAGCTCCCAGCCCTTTGGGAGCCCCAGAGAGGTGAAAACTGGTTGTAAAGGGATGAGTAGCAGATAAGAGAGAACAGGAAGTAGTGAGCCTGGAGTGATCTAGAGAGAGGGCACAAACACCAAATACCCGATTTCCTGTGCTCTCAAAATGCATTCCCAAGATAGGTCATGAGTGTTGCCCTGAGCATGGATGTGACACCTTCCAGGGCTCTGTTTCTCACAGGTTTTGTCCTCTGGGCTTACATCTGAGTAACTGTTTCATCATCTTCTCTGGATAAATGTACACATTCAAGCTCTAGGGATGGAAGATGCAGTACATCATTGCCCCCCCATTCGGCTAAAGGAAATAGCTTCACTGTGAGCATGATCTTTCCACACAAAGGCGTTGCGCCTCCTCAGATCATCTTTGAACCCTTTGCTCTCCTCATAGTGCAAAACAAGCACAAGCCTGTCTGAGAAGCAGCGTTACAGAGAGTCTTGCTTATGCAAGGTGTCATTTTGTTTTGCTACAGTTCCTCTTGGCTTGCTGCCTGTTGGCTGCTGGATTGCTGTCCGTGTGGTCCGTGTGAGCAATCCAGATCTATGTGCTTGTCCTTTCCAGTGTTTCCTTGCTTACTTCCAAGGCACTGAGGATAACAGCTGTTTCCTAGGGGTTGTCCCTAAGAATTGGTACCCCTAGGAGGTGCTGCGTGCTGTGCTAGCTCAGTTCTGGGTTTGACACATCATCTGCTTCACCTGAGAGTGAAAAATACCTGCAAGCAGCAGCAAATGTACTGAGCTGCCTGTTTCTTGGACCTCTTAATTTCTTGGTATCCTCAGTATTACGTAATGCTTGGTGAAAAATACTCATTCTGGCTATATGGCTTTAGATTAAAGAGATGATTCCTTGTTTTATAGGAGAAAGGATTTGCTGGGTGATGCTGAAAGATGACTGTTGTGTGTGTATTGTTCTCTCTGTCTTATTAGCTCAGCCTACGAAATCCTGTTTTAAGAAGCTGTTCACTTTTGTGTTTGGATCCCAGCACGCTGAAGCAGGCACTTCAGTGCTGTTGAGAGCTCCGGCCCTCCCTTATGGGGAGAAGGGAGGGTGATTCCTGGGAATGCTTCCAGCACTGGGCCAACTGTGGAAACAACTGGGCTTGGTGCCAGCCCTTCGGAAGGAGGGGGAGCTCAGAGCTGGTACAGTGAACGTATCAGGCAGGGGCTGGTGTAGCCTGTCGCCTTCCTCAGCATCTTGTGGCTGCTCCATTTCAGGAGAGAAACTGCTCCTCACAGAGCTTTGGCCAAGCAGGGACTCCGAGAGGGTTGGTATGTGCTCCTGGTGGTCTTTTGATAGCAGTTGGCACCAAAGAATCTGACATATGTCGGTGCTTCTGGCTTGGAGGAGTAGGAGGAGTTCCTGCCTGTGTTAAGGGGGAAGGGAAGTATGATCTCTGGATACGTAAAGGGAGGATCTGGGGGAAATCAGAGAGAAGAAGAAGAGCCTCTATGGGGAGGTAAACTGTGATCTCTGTGTCTCACCCAGCAATCTCTGCAGTCCTTGTTGTAGACACTGCAAAATAACGCACGGTGTTTGGGGACCATGGCTACAGACCCGCTCTCAGAGCTTCAGGATGACCTGAACTTGGACGATACCAACCAGTCCCTCAGCCAGCTCCAGCTGGCCTCCATAGATGATAACAGCTGGCCAGCAGATAATGTCCCTGCTTTTCCTAAGTCAGGTGAGTATCCTGCTTGTTTGGGGTCTGGGTTTCGACCAAAAGGGATTGTTTGTCCTGCAGCACTGTGGTCATATCTGCATATCTGCATATACAGAGAGGCCCAGCTCCATCTGAAAGCTTTATAGACACATTAATCCTGTACCACACCCAAGTGAATTAGCCCTGCCCCTGAAACAGCACTAAAAAGCTGAGAGCAAGCTGATGTAAATATGCTTTCCTCCATCCTGTGGCTGACTCCACTTTGGTGCTGACAGTACAGACATGCTCTAAGTCCTTGAGTGTCCTCTGTTATGGTCTCTTGCAGGATAGGTTGGCCTTCCTGAGTGGAAGGGTCTTGAACTTCCGCATGGGGGTGGGGTTGGAGATTGAGTTGCTGCTCTGGAATCCTGTCCTGTGGACTGCTGCCCAGAGAGGTCGGGGATATTAGCTCAAGGGCTTATAGGATGACTGTGCATCCAGGGATGATGTTAAGATCCTTCTGCTCTGGAAAGCCATGATGTTGCCCTTGGCGCTTGGATTTTGGTCTCTGAATGTTTGTGACCTATCAGAACAGCTGTTTTTGAGAGAATATACAGTCTGAGGGACATGTTTGGACCTCATAGGATTGACAGGTCTCTTCTGAAGCCATTGCTGCTCCTGTCCTCTCAGAATTTCAAAGGAGGGTTTCCAAGGTGGACAGGTACATGCATTAGTCCCTCCTGTTCTTCTGTTGAAGAACCATTTTTTCTCATCCCTGTACCCCTGGCCAAGGTGATCCAGATCCCTCCTTCTAATTGCTTGTTCCTTGTGTTTTGTGCAGAGGACTCCAAAGGCTCCCCTGAGCCTGTCACTCACCTGCAGTGGGATGATCCCTACTATGATATTGCCAGGCACCACATTGTAGAAGTAGCAGGTAGGAGTCTTTCTGTTTTCTTTTGTGACGTCTTTGCAGCTGGGCTGAGGAAAGGTCTTTCTAATGGGGTTGTTGGGGCACCTGCTTTATGCCAAGCCCATGTGGCAATGACAGCTGGCATCCTAAAGAGAAGAAGTACCAAACTTCATGTATGCTTGCTGTGTGTGTAATTTTCCACTGACCGTGGTTAATCTTGCATTGCTTCTTGGCTCTTGGTTTCTTTTGCTGAATTGGTTTAGATGTGGCCCTTGACTATGTCCTGGGCATAGGATGTGGGTTTTGTGTGATAATGCCACAGAAATTATGTAGTTATACAGTACAGTTGCAAGGTCCTCAGCTGATGGAGTAATTCACAATAAGTCTGTCAGCTCTTGTATCTGAGTGGCCAGAGCTTGCCATCCTGTCCAGAAACAGCATTTACAGAAATAGGGGGAATAGACCCATGCCCGACTGCAAGGAAAGACCTGATCATTCAGGGTCAGGAGCATTTGGATTTTCTCTATGTGGTTGTCTTATTATTTTAATGACCCTGACCCATGGCAGTTTACTGCTGGGGCATCCATAAGAAAGAGTTTTGGGGATATTCTTTATGTTGCTGTGGTAAGCATGAGGGAAGGGTAATCCCAGTTTGTCTTGTGTTCCAAATGCCTCTTCGGCCTGTTGCGACTCGATTCACGCTTCCTTCTCCTCAGTTATCTATGGCCACTTCCTACCCCTCCTATTGCCATTCCTCTGCCTTGGTCCCTGCCCCACATGTGAAATTGCAGTGAAGCAGAGCACAGGCTGGAGTCCTTTGGACTCAGGGTTGTTCTGCAGCAGGGTTTTAAGACAAAGAGAAGATTCTCATGCACTTACCTTGGTAAGAGTTGTCCTGACATCGTTCTTTTCTGTCTGTTTTCTAGAATGAGCTTTCTTTCTCCTAACCTCTCATGTTACATCATTTGGGAAGCAAAACAATAATGGTAAACTCAAAACTTTGTTGTCCTTTGTGCCTCTGGCTGCTCGGGTTCACAGGCCCGGGTATTTAATGTTTGGGCCATAGTGTCTTTTAGATTTGCCACTAGTGCTTTCATTTGCAAACGTGTTACTAACCTTCTCCATGAGGCTGGAGTTTTAGCACTGGGGTTCATAGAGGTCTGCACCCCAGTGTCCCTACTGCTGGAAGTGGGAAGGGACTCCAATATTTTCAGTGATAACAGCTAGACTATTTGTAATGCAGATGGCAGAGGTAACTGGCCTTTCAGGACTCTGGAAGCTGATGAGTTAACTGGCTCTGTTGTTCACTTCAGACAAAAAGTGCTTAGCAAAGGGTTTAGATCAGAGACGTTGATAAGTCTGGAATACCAGCCCAAACCAAGGATATGCTTTGTGTGCTGCCTCCTGATGTAAGCACCAGTCTCTCTGTGGGGTTTCTGTTCCAAGGTAACACCATTTAGGTTTTTTTCCCAAGCTCTCTGAATGGAATATCACTCCAGTGGAGGTGTGTATCAGTGGCCTTTGGAATGTTTGACACATTGTCTAGGATAGCAAATGAATTATCTAACTTCCTGAAAGGATCTGGAAGTGGTTTGATGGCTGACTGGGAGCTGTGCCTGCATTCTGAAAGAGATCTCTTCCCTGACAGTGGTTTAAATTGATATTTCTAGTGAGCTGTCTGTCCCTGTTGTGTCTCTGTATAATGCAGAAGCAGCTCAGAGAAGCTTCTGTTGTTGGTTGCTCCTGGCCAGTGTTCACCAGTAGCTGGTTTATCTAAAAGCATGTGATGGTCCCACACACAGAACGTGGTTGATGCTTTTCTTGGCATTGGAACGGTAGCACAGCTCCAAACAGTGGATTTACTGCCACATAGTTTTGAGACTCCCTTGTGTCTCATCTCCTGAAAGCCGGATTTATGAAGTGGATCTATGGGGCCTGAGTTGTAACTTGGCCTCTGAGGTGATGCTGTTTGTTCAGATTTTTTGGTCAAAAACGGATAACATGAACTGTTTGGAGAGCGGGTGATGTTCTCTGGGCTGTTGTCAGAGTCAATCTGGGAAAATGCTGTTAGAAATAGCCTGGCGAATCGAAACTGCACTGCAGGGTTAATATGAAACTGTTTGCCTCTGGCTCTCCTGACAAGTTGTGCTTGTCAGCACCTTCATGTGCAATGAGCGCTCCTCATGCTGAGCCTGAAACAAGTAGCTCCAACCCGGTTCTCTCCTAAATGCTAGCAAATGGCAGCAGATCAAGGGTTGTTTTACCCATTCTACTGCTTTCTGAGCTTTCTCTTCTGTGTCCTTCCCTGTTGTGCACTTGAGAGCAGAAAGCATATGGCTAACTCTGTTCCTGCCTTCCCTGAAATCCATTCTGGGATGCTGGTGCTATTTTGAGACAAAACCAGAAGGCTGGTTCCCATCCTTGGGCTGAACTCCATGATCCCAGGGTTATCCTGTGTGGTCAGAAGAGTAATTGCTTCTTGCAGGAAGGAGGGGTGTTAATTTAAACTTACTAAAAGCCCAGTTTTGATGGCAGAAAGTTAACACACGCATTTTCTAGCTGACCTGAATTCCTGATGGAGTTCAAGGCGTGCTGGATTTGAACATCCTGGATATCTGGCCTGAAGAGGGGGGATAATAACATTGAAGATATTTTGCTAGAAATTTGCTAGAAAAAGAAGGGATTTGCTCTTGTTTTTCATTTAAAAATAGTGCAGCAGCTTCACAGAGAGTCTCCTTTTATGCCCTGGGCTCCAGTCCCTTCTGGAGACTGGGATCTTCCTGGAAGAGGCTGTCCGTGGGAAGGAGCAGGAATGTCATTGCTGTCCTTTGCGGGGGTGTGTCATAGGAAGATGGCAACAAAAGGCACCCAGGCCCCAGTTCCAAGGGAGTACAACAAGATGTTCCGGTTTTGGGAAGCGTTCCTTTAGTTCTGGGGTGCAACGCTGTTCTGAAGGAAGGAGATGGTACTCTGCCTTTCCCTGCAGACCTGCCTCACGGTGTGAATTTCCTGGAGTGTTTTACGCAGGCTCTGGAGAGGCTTCCGTGTGGTTGTGCTCTTCTTGACTCTTGAGTTCCTCTTTCTGTGGGCATTGTAGCAGAGAAATTCGTCTTCACACATGGCTAGAGGCTGGAGCAGAGGCGGCTCGGTTTCACTGCACAAACCACTTCTGCAAAGTGTGGTTTCTCTTCTTGCTCCAGCCAAATGGCATTCAGAAGAAACGCAGGCTTCTGGTTAAAGACTGTTGAGGAACTATCCCGAATTGCTGTTGTGTGTAAGAGTTTCTGTATCCCTCTGTTAATTCCATGCCAAAGGTGCTGCTTCCATCCCCTTGAGGGTTGAGGCGGACTGATGTGACATAATCTTATCCCTGAATGTCAGCAGAGGCTGAATTGCAATCGTATGCTTAATAACAGGCTGAAGGAGGTCTCTGGAAAGGCAGTTCCTATTGGGAACCTGGAGCTGTGTGGGAAGAGCAGGACTCTGGACAGCTTTAGCAACGTGTTCATCCCTTGTTCTTCTGCAGAGTCCAAAATACTGGTCTCACCTTTGTGGTCAGTATGCAAACCTTATAGCTATAAAGTGCATCAGCATTCCCATGTTACACAATAACTGGTTTTCTTCTTTTTGGGATAAGAAAACTGGGGCTTAGGATATGACCGGTGAATGAATTTTCCACTGCTGTGGAGGCTAGAAGTTGGTGATGCATTAGTCAGCACAGTGGCTGTTACTATTTGCTTTAGCTATGTAGTCCCTGCCCTCTGACTTCAAAGCTTTGCTGAAGCTCAGAGCATGTTTCTGATAGCTTTTGTGGAAAAACTGCTGCTTCACACCATTAACTGTCAGTCTACAGGGCTGCCCTTGCAGAGGAGGCATGATGCTAGTGTGTGTAAGACCTGTGATTGAAGAGGGAAGGCAGGGTGGAGAGCTGGGGGTGTAACTTACTATGAGTTACTAGATTAAAGCTGCAGTTTCAACAGTGAATCTTTATTTCAATGGTGAATCGGGTACCAAACCTACCTGAAAACCATTGTGGCTGGCTGTTGGCTGCAGGTGGAGAACTGTAACTAGTGCTGATGCTTTGTTGTTGCTGCCTGTGATTGACATGAGGAGGTAAAATAAATCTCGGAGCACCAGTTTCATTAAGAAGGCAAAGCAAACAAAGACAAACGTTGTGCTGAAAGTATGTTGCAGTGTGTCTTTGGTGGCAGAGGCCTCTGATAACAAGGGTTTTTCTCCCTTCCAATACGGTACGTTATTATTGGCCCCATTTAATACAGGGTGCATCCATTTCTGCTGCTTTTGGGTGTAGTTTCTGGCTTTGACTTATGTAATTTTTGTTAGAGTATTTGTATGATGCAGAATGATGAGCTGCATCTGCAGAATTGGGCCCATCAGAGCAAGCCCAGCTTGTGAACCATGTTTTGACATTCAAGATCAAGGGAATGGAGAGTGTCTAAGGGGTTCTGAGCTCCTAAGGGAGACCAAGGGAACAGAGAGTTTCTTTCTACAGCCCTGCTCTGGAACTCTCCATCCTGTCTTGCCAGGCCTATATGGGTCTATTGAGTGCATAGCTAGAAGAGTGATGGATAGGGGCTGGGCATGGCAATAACCACTTTGTGACCAGTCAAACCTACCAAACATTTTCTTTTAAGCTGTGTGTTGAAGATCTAAATTGTCCCTATCTGCAGCTTATTAGTGCAGCTTATTTAGTTCAGCTTATTTAGCTTCTTGCAAACCAATCCGTTGGATGTGTTATTCAAACAGTATGATGCCATTCTCTGTACACTTCTGAAGCTGCTCAAAGGACCTTCACATTCAGATTTGATTCTGCTTGACCCTTTTAAAAGAGGCAGGACAGTGGTTGCCGTTTTGGTGGTAAGGAAGGTGTAACAGTAGGGGTGAGAAGTTTGACTGATAATACTGGATTAGTTGCAGATTCAAGACAGAAATTTGGGAATCATGGGTTGCTGTTACTGCTTCTAATTGTTAGGTAAGATTGCTTTGGAGAAGAGCATGGGAGAACGATGAAATAGAAGGAGCATGATTGCTGCAAGACAGCAACTAAACACATCCCAGTGGCAATCCAACTAGCCTCTGAGACTATACTCAAGATTACTTTCTGGGAAAGGGTACAAAGCTTGGCTTGCTATAACCTTGTTTCTGTTCCTCCAGACCAGGGTGCACTTGATGGGGCCCAACCAGGTAGGTAGACTTTTTGTGGCGCTAACATTTGGTACTGTAGATCATGGTATTCCTTTAGCATGACCATGGCCTGTGGCTGGACTGTCTCAGGGGAGCCCAAACTTTGCTCAGCTTTAGGCTGCATTGGCAACTTTTCAGGAGTCCAAAGCCTGCACCAAATTGTTGTCTGAGGGCTGCACCTCTGCTTCCAGCACAGCAGAACCATTTGAGCCAAATTGGGCATGTGGGCTTCACTTTGGGGCTCTTGGGTCTCAGTGTAAATCCTGTTCTGTCATGGTGGTGGCCTGCTTGGACCAGTTCAGTTTGAACTGGGATTTGCCTCGTTGTCATGTGTGCTTTGGAAGTTCATCCTAGGATTGCTTTCTATTCCTTCGTACGATCTGCTGCTGCACTCACATGCCAAGCAGCTGGCGCTTAAACTGGATTCTCCAGCTGAAAGCAACTGTTATCTGTTTCTTCTCCATTTGGCTGCAGAGATGTTGTGTTTTGGTAGCTTATTCTAGCCTGAAGCTGTGCTAGACTGCTCTGTGCTTGCTGAGCATTTGTTAATACTCTCTGGACTGCAGTCCCAGTCTGCCTGCCGGCGCTTTCACACTTCTCAGTGTAGGTGAAAACTTCTTTTGGTGTGAAATTCTTGCTTCTGTTTCTGAACAGCAGGTCAAGACCTTCACACAGTCCATGGAAATGCTGATCTTCACTTCCTCATTACATGGGCATCTGCCGTGCTCTCAGGCATCCTCCCATTTCGCATTCTTTAATCTGACCCTTTAGTATATTTTGTATCAGTTAGAGCTGCAGCCTCTTGTTAAGGCTTTATGGTTTGGATATTGGGAATATTTAGGTAGATGTTACGTGTTAAAATACTTCTACTTTGAGCTCCTTACCTTCTTTAACTGAGGGGCTAAAGCCATGTTGCCAACATGCAACTCTACTATATTTACACGCTGCCCAGCTGTGTCATAAGCTTGGCAAGAGCCTGAAATTACATGAGAGAAGTCTTTTACTGGCCGTGGCTCTGATGAACATCCAAATCTCTGTGAAAATTGTATAGTAGTGTTCCAGAATTATGCAGTGGTGTCCTCTCCTTGACTATCCACTCTTTAACTTTGCTGGTTTACCAATAGCACTTAGCTTCTAGAGGCAAGTTTTATCCATCTTCATTCTCTCAGTATCAAAGTACTAGGATACTCCCATTTGAATCTTTCATCGGGGTGGGCCCTCAGTTGAGGGCACCCGATGAAGGTAGGAAGGAGCTGAGTCCCTGGGCTGCAGTGAGTAGTATGACAGCTTCCAATCATGGCATAAAGGATATATTTCAGGAGAAATACCTAGAAATACAAAGCAGGATTTGCAGGTCAACCATGTCTTGTCTGTGTTGACTGTACAGATTCATTTAACAGGGAGTCCTGTCTCAGGACAGTACTTGGTGGGAATTTGTGCACTGGTATGTTTGTATTGCTGCAGGTTTCAATCTGAAACATTAGCCTCAGTATTTAAACTTGAGTCCTTTCAAAAGTGTGGTCTTGCATCAATGGCTTAGAACCACAGCAATGATGTTCCATACCCCTTGTCTCAGAAGTGCTGCTCTTCAGGTGAGAGTTAAAACCGAGTTTGGGCTTTAAAAGCACCATAACAATGTTAAGGAGAGTTGGCATGTCCATCAGTGCTGCAAGTTAATGCCTCTTTAGATGGGCAGCTGTCTTGACTGGAGAGGCTTTGCATATTGGCTCTTTGTTGTTAAAAAAGATATATCTTTTTTATGGAGAGGTAGGTTTATTTCAAGTGTAATGTATGAACTTATTCTCAAAGGTTTGCACATTGTTAGGGTGCTCTGTGAGTGCTGATGGCCACTGCTTCTCTGTTGGTTTGTTGTTAACTGTTGAGCATTCCTCATCTGGGAGAGGTAGGAGACAGCCTGAGAAGATGAGTGACTACTTCATGGTCTGTAGTTGTGTTTAATGGAAACTTTAGCTATTTGCAATTGCAAACAAGGGGTGAAACCCTAGATACATAAGATTAATATTGCAAACAGGAAAGCAAACAGTGCAGGGGATGGAGCATCTGGGAAAGATCAAACACGATAAGAATCTGGTTGGTTGGAGGCAGAGAGGCCACCTGCAGACAGTTTTCTCTGACAGCCACGAACACATGGAATGGGCTTTAGGTTCTTGCTTATGAACTGCAACAACTGATGTTTGCTTTGATGCTGAATGTTGCATTTTGCCATGTCTGGAGGATGCAGACTGACCTGATCTGTGTCAGGAGGAAACAAGATTGGCAGTTGGTTGTTTTGACAGTGTCTGTGCTGACAGGCTGAGCTCAGTGTGATGAAACCAGAGTGAAACCCAGAACTCAGTGATGGGCATGCTGGTTCCTGTGTAGGTCTCATGCATAAATTCACTCTGCTTTGGAAGGCAAAATGGGCCACTCCTTTTCCACTCATCCAAGGGGCTATAGATTATCCAACCCTAACTGTTCTATGATTCTGTGATCTTCTGGTGTACTTGGTCCTGGAAATTATCCAAGGGAAACATGCCATCTCCCCTTTGGCAGAATCATGGATTGTTCATTTTCTCTTTACCAGCACTCCCAGACCTTTTCTCCAAGGCTATATAAGGAACAAGATTCCAGATTTTGCATAGGCCCTGCCATAGGCTTTCATGTCATTCCAGAGGAAGGTCTTTAAGGTATGTGGCTCCTGAACTGTGATTTGTGAGGTGTGGAAATCACTGCCCAGGAGCCCGAGCTGAGCATGTGGCCCCCCACAACGCTGCTTGAACACAGTTCTTCACAGCCAAGGCCTGCCTTGATCAAGTTTGCAGTCTGCTTCTGGCTCTCAGACCATCCACTTTGGTGTAATGCAGCCTCTCAGTTAACTGAAGATAGCACCTATTCTGACTTCAGCACAGAGCTATGATCTGCAAAGATCTGTAGTCTTTCTGACCATCTTCTTTAATCACTGTAAAACTCAACAGATTCTCAGATGCTGCCATCTTCTTGCTGCTCTGTGCAGACAGGACCCTGTATATTCCATATAGAAACATACAAGTAGCTAAGGATCACTGGGAAGAGTTACAAGATGCCATATTCCTTGCCCAGGACTTTGTAGCATGCATCTTTGTTTTACAGACAGCTTATGTGCATTAGACCCAGCCCTAAAGCTCATAGCAAGCTACTGAGAAACTCTGGGCTAGGCAGAGAGTGGGCTGCTGTGGGATATGCAATGTGATGTTGGTCTTGTGGCCTGGCTGTGACTGTATCTGGGTGTTCCCAGATGAGCCTTGCATCACTCTCTCCTAGTCCTGCATTCTGGGTCATGCATCCTCCCTAATTGCCCCTTACCTCCGCATGTGTATGTCAATGTAATGGCCTATGCCAGCCCTTTCCTGGTCTGTAGCTAGTGCTGCTTCAGTGTTCCAAGCTTTTGTAGAGGTTCTGGCTTGTGTGCATCAGTAACTTCTGTCTCTTGTGTTGTCTGGTGACTTGAAAATAGGACTTGCGAGGGAAAAATAGAAACGAACTATTTCCAAGAGAATCTGTTCTTGTAGGCAGCATGGGGCTAAAAGTGGCTTAGTGGCATCTTAATGTCATGGCTGGTATATATAAGTCCTCTGGCTGCCATTTGCAGTACAAGGTGGTCGTCTGTTACTAACAGGCAGCATTCCCGGGAACCTCAGGTTTGCTGTCCAGGGTTCAGTTTGAGATCTCAGTTGCTGCACAGTAAGTGTACCCAAGCAGTAGTTGAGGCCAGAGCCCATGCAAAGGTGAGAAAATGGCTGCATGCTCTAAATAGTGTAAATCAGCGTGGGGAAAAGGATATACTGCAAGATTGCTGTGCATAAGTAGTGATCCTTGCTGCTTTTCTGTGCTGTGGTCTGTATGAGATGGTTACGCTGTAGGGGAGCAAGGTGAATAGCAAGAAAGATGGGAAGACTTTAACCCTTCACCCTAAAGGAACCATTTCATCTCCACTGGTGCTAAAAAGCAAGTCATCCTTACGGAGATGGATTGTGTGTTGTGTCTGGGAGAGAACCAGACTTTCCTTCTAATTCCCTGTGTCCAAAAGATTTGTGACCTGGTTCTTCCTTAGCTAAATCTCTCAGTTCCCCTGGCACTGTCTGCTGATCTTGTCCGTGCTCATCTGCCTGGATTTTGATCATGGAGCTGAGATCTCTGCTGGTGTAAGTCCATTGATGTATGAAGATTTACTTTGAGGAAAACTTGGCTTGTTGTTTCTGAAGCCTCAAGTGGTGCTTGGGAGTGTCCTCCCCGAGATGAGGATGCTCTATGGTTCGTTTGGCTCCAGTGAGATGAAGACTGTTTTGTGCTGGGTTTATACATAATATACTTTGTTGTGCTGCTCTTTGCAGCTCCTTCCAGCTCAGGTTGGAAAAATACCTCTGTGGATGGAAAATGTAGGAAAGAGTGAACAGCTTGTTCTGCAGTCCCCTGGAGAATCCAGCAGCTCTACTTGGTCCATGTGTAGAAGAGGCTTGTGATGATGCTTGCTTCTCATCTCTGGGATGTGGCTGGCTGGGACTGCCCTATTCCTAAGAATGTCTTGGTTTCCAGGGTATGAAATGGCTTTGATTTCTGTGCAGGATAAAGCTTCAGGTGAAGCAAGGAGGAAATGCATGAGGCCATCGGCAGTTGGTCTAGGTCTGTGTGCAGGATGGAAGGAGTTGTTATGCCTGTGAGGGCAGTTTTCTCTGTGCCTCCCTGCCACACATCAGGAGCAATGTCCAGGGGCAGTGTTGCAGGATTAATGCTCTGACTACTCTGTACTTGAGGCCTCCATCCCTACATGCCCCAAGCCATCCTGGCTTCCAGTCCTTCCTTTTCTTTCAGGGCTAGAGCATGGACTCTGTTCTCTATTCACATTGTTTACTTGCCAGGCCTTTGGTTCAGGTTTCTGCTTCCATACTAGGCCCATGGTAACTGCTGAAAATGAGGTGTAGCTTTGCTGGCATCTCTGACAATCCAGACTTCTGCCTTGTTATGGTGGTTTCCCATTCTCTGTTTGTCCCTTGCTGCCAGGACCACAACGTAGTCCTTAAACTCCCTGTAATCCCTGCCATTTCATCTGCAGGTGATGACAAATACGGAAGGAAAGTCATTTTGTTCAGTGCCTGCCGGATGCCCCCAAGTCATCAACTTGATCATGTGAAACTGCTGGGGTGAGTAGTGTCTTAGGAGGCTGCTGTTAAGTTCTTAAGCCTGATGTAATTCCCAGGTGCTGGATTCTTGAGGCCAGATCTATCTGCAGTAGTTTCTTTAGCTGGATGTGTCCTCCCAGAGCACTTGCCTCCGTTGCTGGGGGTGCAGACCCTCTGTTTAGACACACAAAAGTGAGTCCCCAAGGAGAGTGTGAAGTGAGCTCAGCAGTTGTCTCTTCTCAGGTACCTGAAGTTCACACTGGACCAGTATGTGGAGAGTGATTACACACTGGTGTACCTGCACCATGGCCTGACCAGTGAGAACAAGCCATCCCTGAGCTGGCTGCGGGATGCCTACAGGGAATTTGATCGGAAGTGAGTAAGGCTGCAGCAAGCAAGGCTGTAACATGCTGTTCTCAAGCCTAGTGTAGGTTCCTCCATGTAGCTTTTGGATCATCATTTACTATCACTTATTTCTGCTGTTTATGGAGGTGGGTTGCTGTTTAATGCAGGCTGAATCACGGCTCCTTCTGTAGTTACCTCCTTTAGGCTAATAGGCAAGCAGCAAAACCGGGTGTCACCCCATGGTATAATTATTGCTTCCTGGTGCTTGGTGAATCTTGGAATACAGTAGCGTGTGCCCTTGGGCTGCTGAGTGGCCTGACACAGCTACAAAGCATGGGAGAGCAGAGGCTGTGGGTATGGGAGGTGGTGAGGCTCAGTGCAGAAGGAATGGAGCACCAGGGTGCCTTCATGTGGAAAGGCTGGATCCTCTCCTTAAAGCACAGCTCATCCTTACATAGCTTTTCCTGGCAGGTACAAGAAGAACATCAAAGCCTTGTATATTGTGCACCCAACGATGTTCATCAAGACCCTGCTGATTCTGTTCAAGCCTCTGATCAGGTAGGAAGCACTACAGGAGGCTCACCCGCATCCTCACACTGCAGGCGAACAATGAGGCATTCTCAGTGGGCACAAGATGAGCCCAGCTGCAAAGCCTACCCTGGAGACTCTCATCCTATGGTGCCACCTCTTTTCTGAGGTCAGACATAGTCAAACACAAGAAGTACTGTTTTAAGAACCTGCAGAGTCTGCAGCTCTGTGCTGCTGCTCCCTTTTTGTCCAACCAAGTAAAATGTTGCAGGCTCTGCTAATAGTGAACGAGGAAGTGAAAGCATCACTCCAAATTGTATGTAATTCATTGTGAAATCCTAACTCTGTAAAGTAATTGAAAGCAAAACTTTCTTCAGCCTATTGCTGGAAGGAGAAATCCAGTGTTTTAGGGAGCCTGCTGCTGCTGGAGCTTCCAATGTGACTTGGAAAGTCTTGGCATCTCCTGGTAAAATACATGGAGGTGGAGACCACTATGTGTGGCATTTCTGATGCTCTATATCTGCCCCTTTGCCCTACTGATGTCTCTTGCAGACCCCTGCTCTCCTTGTCTGTAGTAAGTCTGTTCTGAAACTGGATTTCCCCATTCCTCACATAATCCTCTTTTCTCTTGTTTTCAGCTTTAAGTTTGGACGAAAGATCTTTTACGTGAACTTCCTTAGCGAGCTGGAGGAGTATGTGAAGTTGGAACAATTGGGGATCCCAAGCCAAGTGCTGAAGTAAGAATGCTGCCATTTGCTTAGGACTCTGTGAGAGGGGACTTCTCTGGAGGCATGGCAAAGGGAGGAAGAGATTGTTGCACTCGAGCAGTGGTTATGCAGGGAGTGGTGACAAATTGCCTTAGGGACTATTGTTTCTATCCATGCTCCTCCCTCTGTGTCCTTGGCCACGGTGCCCAGTTCTGTCCCCGTGGAGCACCAGACCTGCCTCTCCTTTGGGGCTTTCTGTAGGCTGTTGACCCGGAGTTCATAATTCATCTGCTGTGTTTGGGGACCTGCTCTGCTCCCTCTGCACAGTTCAGCTTGGTTTTGGGGCTTCCCAACATTGCCACAATCCCAGTCCTATCAGGTTGATTCCCTGTCCCTCACGCACACATGCAACTGTCTCATCGCAAGCAGTGCTGCCCTGGCCTCCTGCCCACGCTGTCATCCTCAGCTACTCCAGCTCCTGATTCCAGATAGATATTTCTTTCTCCCTGCTTTTTCCTGGTAACCAGATGTTTGATCTTGTTGCTCCTGTGCTCCAGAGCTGTATAGGTGGAATCAACCACGCTAGGCTGGAGCTGTTACCAGTGGGAGTGCAGTGGCTCACGTGCAGCGCTGGGTTCATGCTCTTTCTGGGAGGTGGGGTGGCTCCTTACTAGTCTGTGTTTTGCCACAGATACGATGAATATCTGAGATCCCTGCAGAAACCTTCACAAGTGCCCCTGAAGCCAACCCCTCCGCGCCCACCGCTGCCAAACCAGCAGTTTGGAGTCTCGCTCCAGCTGTGAGTATCCCTGGATTGTGTTGCTTTTGCCCTGACTTGCTTGGTACGAGCTCACTGTGTTTGAAGCTGAAGAGCAGCACAAGTGGCTGTAACCTTTCGGGCAGTTCAGACTTCCTGCAAAGCTTTCATCATTCTTCTGAGGAACCAGACAACCAGATCCTGACCCGGTTCAGTTCCACCTTCTTGATTCCACAGCTAGATTGGGTCTAAATTAGGATGGGATTGCTTCTGCAGCTAAGGGTCACTAAGGGAGGAACAAAACAAGGGCCATGTGGGACAGCTTTGTGTCACTACAGACTTCCTTTAAACAAAGGAAGTCTGTTGGAGGCTGGTGGAGGTGTCTTTAGGGCTGTGCTGATTGAGCAGTGCTGCAGGGCTGTTTCTTAGGTTTTTCCGTATCATAAACTCTTATCTTAAAAGCACTTCTGTTCACACTTGTGCTGATCCCATCCCCCATTCCTGCAGGCTGACGCAGGCAAACACAGACACTGGCAAGGGCTAGTGATACTGGCTAAGTGGTGAAGGTATTTTTAACTTGGAGTGTGATTTTCCTTCCCCGGGGAATGAGGAGGAGCCAGTACCCTGTGGCCAGGCAGATCCTCTGGAGCAATCTGGCAACACATTCCCCAGCTTCAGCACGTTTCCAAATGGTGTTTCCTGTGGTGCTGTGTGCCTGAGCTTGTGAGTAGCCTGAGAGGGGTGAACAGCTCCATGCCATCAAGTGGTACAGAGAGCAAACACCTTGGCATCACTAGGTCTCCCCTGACAGCCGTTGGGTTGATGCATCTTTGCTACAGGAGTGAGATGGATAAACTTACCCCATACATATTTCTCTCGTGTCAGCTTCTTTCTACCCTTGCTCCTATGGGGAAGTAAACAGGAAGTTTAACCCTTTTCATCTTACTCATAACCAGCAGCTTTGCCTTCTGGGAACTCCTTTGCCTTGGAATCTACAGGCTGTGGGGTTTACAGAAGAGAGAGGATTACTCCTCTGGTGTAGTAATGAGCTCATACTTGCTCCAGTGAATGATGTAGCATGATGGGTGAATGGGAGAGAAGGCTGGAATAGTGGCTGAGCCACGGACTGGGATAGCAGTATCCTATAGGGTAGGGCTTGTGACTTAAAGACTCAGGGCTGCATGCAGGGTAGGGAAGACCAGTCATTTGTAACCTTTTGTCTCTTCCCCCAGTCTCAGGGAGAAGAGCCCTGATCAGTCTCCTGTGCCTCTGGTGGTCAGAGACACCATTGCTCACTTGCGGGACCATGGTAAGTGTAGAGGGGGAACTGCAGCCCCTCTTTATTCCATGTCAGTGGCCTCTCCTCCATCCAAGTTCCCACCCAGAGTGTGGTGAGGTAAAGAGCAACAGTCTACAATGAGGTGTAAAGGCCAGAACTAGGTGAGTTAGCGTTCAAGAGAGTGTGCAGGGCTCAGGAGACCTCTTTCTTCCACTCATCCCTACTTGTGTAAGAGCAGCAAAATGCTCCTTGTATCCTTTGCCTGGTAGTGGAAGCAGAAAGAATTGCCTTCTCTAAAAAAGGGACTTGTTGTCATCTGTTTGAATGCCCAAGGCATGCATTTATGACTGTTAAGACCAGCATTTTTAGACTCTCACGTGTCTGATCTTCCTTCTCCATCTGGTCTCCCTTCACAGCTCTTACCACAGAGGGGATTTTCCGGAGATCAGCAAATACACAGGTTGTCAGGGAGGTCCAGCAAAAATACAACATGGGTAAGTGCCCAAACTCAGCAGAACCCCTCTCATTTGCAACTGGAGCTGTGTTGGATCATGGCTCCTCTCCTTCTTTGATAGGCCTCTAGGTGAGGCCCCATCATGGTGTGACCCGAGCTGCAAAGGAGAAGCACCTGATACTTCTGCTGTGTAGTAACCATGTTCCCTCCCACTTACATTCCTGTTGCTGCCTTTTTCATTCCTGAGTGAGTTTCCCTCTTTCTTGGGGTGGGATATACCTCCCACCTTAGTCAGGTTATACTGTATGGACTGAAGATGACCAGGAAGAAACTTTTTCATCTGTTACATCTCATGACTTCCAAAGACTTAGTGCTGGATTCGGCAGTGCTTTGCACATGCTTTTGGGACACATTTTTCCACTCTCCTAAAAGATGTGGTGCTTCAGTACCCTCTCTGTGTTCTTTAAACTCTTGCTTCCCTAGTTCTGAGCTCTGGCCACCATGTCCCGTTCTTTGTTTGGAGGAAGTCCTGCTTTGGCTACTGAGCACTGAGGTTCTGCTCTACTTTTTCAGGTGTGCCTGTAGATTTCCAGCAGTACGAAGATGTCCACCTCCCTGCTGTGATTCTCAAGACCTTCTTGAGGGAGCTTCCTGAACCCCTGCTCACTTTTGGCCTCTACAGCCACGTTGTCAGCTTCCAGAGTGAGTTGTAACAAGAGTGTCCTACTCCTGAATGTTACACTGGCCAAAGGCAAAGATAGCCTGGGAGGAGGGCATGCATGGGGTACCCTGTGACTGCAAACCGGGCTGTCATCACGGTGAGTGCTGAGGACTCCTCACGGACCTGCTTGTCTTTCCCCTCTTTTTAGATGTGGAGGAGGAGAATCGTGTGGGTGTTGTTCGCAAAACACTCCAGACTCTGCCAGAAGAGAACTACCAAGTGCTCCATTTACTGACAGCCTTCCTGGTGCAGGTGAGCGGCTCCAAAGGTGGGCAGGCTTATGCTAGTTCAGTTGCCAGTGCCTTGAATCAGCTTTTTAACTGCTTGCTCTCTCTGTTCCTTTGAGAGGAAATGAGTCCCAAGACAGGAAATTGCCTTTCTTTACCTTACTGTTAAACAGATCAAGAATGATCATGATGATCTAGCCTAAGCAGTTATTTCTCGTAACGCTGAGATGTGCAGGTGGGCATTAAGCCTGTGTGGTTTGTACAAGAGAGGCTGAGAGTTCCCCAGGGTTATATATCTGATGTGTGTGTATATATGTATGTGTATATACATATATATCTATATATATACGCAAGACTAGAAGAGGGGTCTCTGATCTACCCCACAGCGTTTTGTGCTGCCAGGGAAGCCACTGCAAGGCTGCTCTAGCAAGAGGGAAGGTAATTTTGTTTTGAGTGGTGACCTGGACCTGTAGAGATTTTTGCTGGCAGTGCTTCTGGTCCTATTGTTATGATGTGGCCTGGTGGTTAAGCTGTGGTGGCAAATGGCAAGTTATTGCTCCTCACCTTCTGAATGCTGGGTGTCATGTGTGTTTGTGTCTTCTGGCACTAGGCCTTCACTTTCTCTCCTCCCATTTTACCCTGGCAATCTGTCAGCTCTGGCTTTGGGGAGTGTAGAGGGCACCTGCTGTGTTGTTCTGTAGGATTCGTAACGGGCTCTTTCCTTCCCATACAGGTCTCTGCTCACAGTGACAGAAACAAGATGACAAACACCAACCTAGCAGTTGTGTTTGGCCCAAATCTGCTGTGGGCCAAAGATGTAGCCATCACCCTAAAAGCCATCAACCCCATCAATACCTTCACCAAGTTCCTGCTGGACCACCAGAAGGAGCTCTTTGAGGATGTGGAGGCCTGAATCCAGGCCAGCCCACACCAGCACACTGTGCTCACCTTCCCACCTTCCTTCCCACCTTGTCTTGGAGCTGTGACCAAGCTGACTCCAGTGCAAAGGGGCTATTGATCCTCTGGGTGATGAGCAGAGTGAGGGCTGTGGAGATGGTGGAGGAAGTGTGTAAGTAAGCGAGCAGAGACCCACTGCTCGGGATGGGGAGGGGAGCTGGTCTCCCTGCTGCTCTGAGTGGAGTCCTGGCCCCCCTGCCAGTCTGTGCAGCTCCTCCAGGCCTCATCACCAGCCTGCTGCCCTATCAGATGCCCTGCCTCTTTCCTCCTTCCCTTTCTGCCCTCCTGGTCCCTTCCTCAGCAAAGATCTTTATTGTTTCAGCTCCCAATAGTGCCAGCTCACCCCCTTGCCTCTGCTGGGCTGTCTGGGTGAGGGCAGCTCGCTGGGTTTGTGGCAGAGATGTTCTTGCTGCCAGTGCCATCCCTCAGCACTGAATGTGCATCTGCCTTTCCCCAGTGGCACCTGCGGCAAGGAGGGAGCTGGGCAGCTCTTGTGCTTGTCCTGCACTTGCAAACAACACTCCAGACCCCATAGTTTTGGCAGGCAAGTGAAGGACAGGCTCGCAGCACATGGACTGTGTTACTGGTCAGATTCCAATACAAGGAAGCTGAATTTAGCCCAAACCCCTCTGGGGTCCCCACTCTTGATACTGTTCAGTGTTTGCTGGGGTGTTGTGGGTGAGGTGCCTCCCACAGTTACCCAGCTCAGGTGGTGGTGATGCCTGGGTCCGGCAGACCCACCCCATGCCAGGCCTGGCTGTGGGGTGGGTCTCCGGTGGCTGGGTGAGTCTGAAGGGCAGACAGCAAGTGCCCTGGTGGCACTGAACCTGCTGCACACTATGAGCATCACTGCCTCTCCCCGGGGCAGCCGCACAAAGCCCCTTTCCTCTGTCAGATGTGTACATCTGTGCTGATGGCACAGACACTTCTTGAGCAGGGCTCTCCCCAGCACAGCATAACAGAGAGCATGGCCTTGAGGGAAGGTGTAGGGGCTGGGGCTGATCCTCACCCTGGAGTGCACCAGGCTGGGCTTACGTTTCTGTCCAGGTGCTGAGCACTCGTGTGCCAAAGCTGTGAGGGAACAGCTATTCCATGCCAAGGGCCTTTGCCTTGTCTCCCTCAGTTCTGAGCTACCTTCCTTCTGTCCTACCATGGAAGCCTGGTCAGATGCATCCTGCATGCCCTGGGCATGGCTGGAGAGGTCGGGTTGTCCGCAGGGCAGGCTCAGAGTGGGGTGGACCTGCTAGCTGTGAGGGCATCATGGTTGGGTTTGCAGCTTTCCCGTTACCTGAGCTGAAGGAGATCCCTGTCCTCAGCCTGGCCCAGCAGGGTGTTAGCAGGGAGCTTCTAGCCTTACTTCACTGGTGTGTTGTATCTCTGTTATCTCGTGCCCTGCGTGCCTGGGCCAGGCCCCTGTTGCTGCATCTGGCCACAGGGACAGATCTTTTTGGACCAAGCAGAACTATTTTAAATAGCTACTGGATGTGAAATACCGTTTGCTTTGTCATAGTATTTTAGCCTGCCTTTAAAACACTGACAAGGGTCGGTGCCCAGCTGTAAGCAAAGTAAGTGTCACCTGCTGCAGGCACTATGGAAATGGCGCTTATTGCTGAGCTCTGGAATGGGGATGAGTAAGGACACAGGCAGCTCTGTGCGGCAGCACTGGTCCGTGAAGGAGGAACAGGAACATATGCATGGGAATAGTGAGAAAGAAACTGAGCATCACTAAGGAGGTGTTTGATTAGAGGGCTGGGGTCTCATCCCATCTAGATAGTGGGGACTTTGTCCTGTGGAGGCTACAAGGCTGCTTGGTCTCCCTGTTCCAATGGCCCTGTTATTAACTTAGCCCCCTGTTTGTCCAGAATAGGAATTGTTTTTAGTCTGAACAGTTTACAGCAGTAACCAGATGTTTTGGAGGCAGAGACACTCAGCTCCTAATTCACCTGTGCTCTGTGCTAGAGGAAATTAGCAGGGCTGGTGTGCCGTGCAGGAGGGATGGACAGTGTGGAGAGGTGTACCTGCCCCAGCTTTTGCTTTAAGAGGCCCCAGTGTTTGCTGTAAGAGGCAGGGATTTCTGGACAGCTGAGGAGGAGTGTGGAGGCAGAGGGAGCCCGATGTAGCCCTTCTTCCCCTGCAGGCACCCTGTGCTGTGCAGGCTTCAGTTCGGGGGTAGACTTGATGCTCCAACTAGATCTGAGCTGCCACTGGCCTCACTTACATCCCCCTGGAGGAAAGGCAATCCCAGCTCTCTTCCCCTGGGACAAACAAGACCAGTATTGGCAGCATGGATCGGGAAGTGCCTGTGTGCCAGGGCAGGAGGCCTTGGCCCTGTGTGTAGCCCCAGCTCCCAGGGGAGGCTGTCACGTTCCAGCCACGCAGAGCAGCGAGGACCATTCCCTTCAGTAGCGAAGGGAGCAGTGCTGGGGTAGCTTAGCTCCTCTCCAGCGGCAGAGCAGGGATTGCTGGAAGTGTCCATGTTCTGGCTGGAATTTGTTTGGTGGGTGCTTCTTTTTAATTTTTTAATTTTTTTTTAAAGTGAATTCTTGAAATAATCTTTCCTTTTTTAGCACAATGGAGACGGGTGCATCCCCTGCGGGCAGGGATAAAAGCCTGCTCCAGTTCAGTGCCTGCGGGGAGCAGATTTGGAGGGCATTCAGGAAGCTGCTGCTGCGGTGGGAAAGTGCTTGCAAATCCTGGAAGGGACCCAGTGTAAATATCCCTTTGTCTGCTGCTCCTCATGCCGGAGCTGCTGGGGGCCCTGGGGCAGGCACAGGAACCAGGGTTGCTTTTGCTTCTGCAGTCCGCTCTCCTGGAGGCCTTGCATTGAAACACCTCGTGTGACTTGAGCAGGGAGCTGCCTCGGGCTGCCTCAGCCTGTGCTGGGTGTGTGCCCTCCAGAGCCTGCATCTGCCCAGACCAGGGGCTGAAATTCCCTCTGTTCCTGGGCAAAGAGCTTCTGCCCACAGCCAGGCTCTGGCAGGTTTGGGTGTCTCTGCCACATACAGGTGCAGGCAGTATCTGATTAGGGTGCTGGTCTTTGTTCTCCTTGCTGTAGAGCTGCCCAAGGGTCTCTTCCCTGTCTTTTAGGTTAGCTGTTAGCCATTTCTCCCTGGGGGGGGGGGGGGGTACTTGTTACACTTCAACCCTCTGCTCTTTAGCATCTCAACCATTCCCCTCTGTTTAAGCCTCCTGCTGTCTTACCAGCCTCTGCTCCCTGGCCCACGCTGTGTCCTGACACCAGAGCTGTCAGGGGGGGGCACAGGGGTGCAGGGGCCAGCTGGATGCCTTGTGGCAACGTTTGCTATTTGAGAGCTGAGGACCACTTTGGTCCTTGTTACCTTTCATGCATGGGGGCTCCTGTGCGTCACTGTTGGCTTTTGCTTTTGTTGCTGGTGTTCCTTGCTGCCTTTTCTGTTGATGTTCGTGAGGTGCCGGCTGGGGTTTTCACGGTTCACAGTTTGTTTTCTTCTGATCTGCACCAATCTTGTATTTCACAGTTTGCACTTTTTGTATTTAAATAAAATTCAAATGGTAATCCCAGATCCAGGTGTGTCTCTCAAGTGATAGGAGCTGTGGCACGTCTGTAAGACACACAAGTAAAGCTGGCTACGCTGCCAGCCGTAATAACCGTGCACAGAGGGAGGAGTGTGAAATTCCTCCTATGTGAGTAACTGGGAAGAAAGACTGGTTTGCAGGAGCCTCAGGTTGGGAGCAGAATTCAAGCAAAGTGAAGCAGGGCTGGGCTCCCATGTTACCATCTCCTTGCCATGATGAGCAGTCTGAATGGGATTGCCCTTTCCTAGAGCTGGACTCGGGCAGCTCCACAGGTTGTGGGATCACTAGGTGCCAAGTGGGAGCCACCTCAAGGCTCTCCAGTTAGGATTAGTGGGCTGAATTTATCCTGTGGCCAAGTGGTCCATGCAGCAGAGACCTGCACCTTCTCGTGTCAACTCAGGTGGACTGCTAACTCCTGGATGTCTTCTGCTGCACTCCACTCCTTGATCCACGTACATCTAACCTTTGCCTGCAGACATGGTAATTTCCTGGTTACACATAGAACGGTTTGGGTTGGAAAGGACCTTAAGAGCATTCAGTTCAACCCCCCTGCCATGGGCAGGGACACCTCACACTAAACCATGGCACCCAAGGCTCTGTCCAGCCTGGCCCTGAACACTGCCAGGGATGGAACATTTACGACTTCATCAGTAAGCTTTTTGGTTGACAGAAAGGCTCAAATGCAAAGTGGTTACTGTGATTAATAATACGAGTGTAGCAACAAGTGAACCCAACAGTGGCTGTGAGAATAGGAGGAGAGCAGAGAGCACTGGAGCTAAAAGCATCACAGTGAGGCAGACAGCCTCAGACAGCCTGAGCCCTGACCACTGGCCTTGCCACCTGGATGTGTTGATGCTCATGTTAACACTTCTGGAAACTCCTGTGCTGCTTTTCAGTTTCTGTTACTGATCAGATCAGCCACCCAACTGAGGGCTTCCCAGTGCTGAGTTCTCCTTCCACACACTGCCACTATTCAGCGTGACCCATGCCAAGCTGTCAGCTGTACACCAGAGGTATGTTTGGCATCTGTTCACAGGTAACTCTTTGCATATGGTCCTTGTAATCTATTAATTTCTTTAGCTGCTGTAACTGACAGGACAGTTCTTCAGTTCTTGAGGGGTTTAATACTTAACTTTTGGGGCTTTTTCATTCAGATAGTGCTTCTGGCTACAGTCTTATTAAGAATTTCCACCTCTGTACTGTGGTGGCCCCTGTAATGGGGCTGGTGCAGTCCCAGGGGTTGGTCACAGTGACCTCAGGCTGCTGCAGCAACATCTCCTCTGGCTTCAGAGCTCAAGAGCTGCTGGGTCTAGTCCTGACAGGGTGCTGTAGTTGGTAGGGCCTATGCTACGTGCAGTCACATGGGTAGTACTTTACACAGTGTAAACACCAGTGTTGGATGTGTTTTCACGTCTGGCTGCCCTGTGGCCTTAAGAACATTATGCTGGGAACACTTTTCTCTTTCTAAATGCATGCACTAGGCTCACATGGATGGTATTTGATTGTTCCCAACCTTGGGAACCCTTCTGCAGCTGTTTACTTTTCACTTATTTGTTGATGTTTTTTCCACTGCCTTGTCTTACTGGTGATGTGGTGATGAGGGTGGAGACTGGAGGCCCTGTAGTAAGCCCAGATCCCACAGGATGGTTTATGTGAGTTTGCCAGCAATGCATCTTGACCCACAGTGCGCAATGTCTTTTGCAAGTGGCTGAAATGGCACTCATAAATATACACACATGCACACTCAAACGTAATGCAGGCAGATCAGTAGCTACAATGATGCAATGGGATACTCAGTTTGTGTTACCTCCCAAAAATAAGAGCACTTTTAAGAGTTAGCCCTGTGCCTCAAACTGGAGTATTTCCTTTCATGGAAGCTTCCCATATACACTGTCATTTTTCTTTTCCCCCATTCCTGCTATTCTTCTTTGTAAGAACCAGACACCCTTTACATTGCAGCTTAAATCAGCAGTTCTTGTATATACACACAGATTTTTACCATCCCATCCTTCCTTTAAAGGGAAGGTGTTATCATCTTACACTGCATTGTGTGCTATAGAGGGTTAACGTCAAGCAACACTAGACTACAGCTGTTAAGTCTGGTGATCAGACAGGCAAGCAGCATGCTCTGTCACCAGCATCTTGCTACTGAGATACCCACACGTTCTTCTCGCATCTTGTCTCTTTGAGCTCTTCTATCAGATCAAAACGTTCCCACGCTCCCTTTAAGCATGTAGTAGCAACCATGTACAATGCAAATGCTGCTGGTGGGCTGGGATTTTCCCTTTTCCCATCCCTTTATTTTGGAGACAAGTTAATGTGTTTCAGCTGGGGGAAGACATCCAGATAATTCCCTTCTCCAGCTAACTGGGGAGGTCACCAGAGCCAACACTGTGTGTCTGTTCCCCATTCCTGCTTTTGGGACAAGATAGGAACCTGCTGTGCCCCTTCTTCACTCTCAATAGGATGGTCTCACCTGAATCCTGCTGACTAACTGTAGCACATCAGCGCCTTTTCCCTTCTGTGTTGGAGGCAGCAACCTGATCCATCCTGCACTCTCTGATCATCCCATTTCCTGGAGAAGAATGATGATGAGAGGCTGGGACATTCCCAGACCTGTCAGTATACATGAAGACAAGCACAGAGCATTGCTTACATAAAAGTTTTATTGGAAAGTCTTTGAATACTTGAAGTACATTGGAGACTGTTTCCAAAACAATGCAATTTAGGAGCCTTCCCCTTCACCCAAAGTTATCTGTGAATCAGCAGCTACATACATCCTGTCCTTAATATAGAATCGAGCAGACAGCTGCTAAAATAAACAGCCTTCATAACACAATCTGTGGCAGGCCACAGCAGCACCTAGATCTTTCCTGAAGCAGAGCATTTGTGCAGTGGTCAGGGAGCATAGATACAGCAACCATGTGTTGAAACTGAGGAATGTCCAGAAAAGAGGCACGTAACTCAGCCCTAGAGAATCTCTTTACTGCTGTGGCCATCCAGCTCAACACTAGCAGCTCATATAGGCAAGTTTCCAGCCTTCTGAAGTAGAAAAACCCCAAGTGCCACACTGACGTTCTGCCTTCTGGGATGTGGGAGCTGTAGCCATCAGCATCAATGAGAAGTATTTGGCTCTGGGGACCTTCTGGACAGGATCAGCAAGAATGGCTTGCCTTCTGCCAACTCCACAGTGTGCCTCTGTGAGAAGGAGACAGCAGCAGCACTGGCTCGATGATGTTCAACCTAGTCTATTCTTCATTAATAGAGTGAACCAGCACTTCACCCCAGTGCTGCTGCTTTGCAGCCCAGACTGCATCACTCTCCCAAGCACAGCCTGTACATTGAGAGGAAGGTGACAGCAACCACATCTCTGAGCTAGAAGGTGGCAGAGACCAGCTTCCTAAGCACAGGTGAGAGCCAGCTGATAATATTCGTCCCTTATGCTCCTGCACCCTTCTGCAACCCTTTCCACCTGTAAAACAAGGTGGCTCTGGCTGTGGGGATCAAGTGTTTGTTAGAGCCCATGTAACTTAAACACTCTTGTGCACAGTCTACCTTGGAAGCTTTCTTAAATGTTTGGGCATCTTATTTTGCAAGGACTGAGCAGTTTCTGTGCAAGGCTGCTGAAAAGTTGATTTGCTTGAGTAAGCTGAAGAAGTTCTGGTGGGCAGCTGTCCTTCAGTAAAGCTCTCCCCTAGAGTTTTAGAGCTCATATGGCCTCCCCCTGAACACAGCACTCAACATAAAAGCATTCTGTTGCTCTGACCTTACAGCAAGCTCCATTCTGAACCTGGTTCCTTGCTCCAGCAGTGGCACAGGAATAGTGTTCTACAGCGGGTTCCCCCATCAGCTGCTTCTGATCTCTTTCAGTTAAGCTGAAGAAGCTCCCACATTGCACTACCTAAAAGGCTGGTTACTCAGCCACTCTAAGGAAATTAAGATGTCTCCTCAGGCCTGAGGCAACACAACTCCACTTCCAGAGAAAGAAAAAGTGTTTTAGGACAGTAAGGGGTCCTGTAGTTGCTCACTGTAGTTACACATAGGAGGAAGAGAGAGAACCACAAGGCGACCTACCTTATCTAAGCTTCTGTTTAGTGTCACTGTTTCTCCTCCCCTCCTTACATCAGGCAAAAGACACGCACCAGCCAAATCAACCCTTGAGCACTGCCACTCACACTGCTGATAACCACATCATTACAAAAATAACATTTCAGCTAATCAAAAGCCAGCTGATTAAAAAGTACCATAAGCTCCCCCCCAAAATGTGCTTCTTTCAAGAAGCTGCCTTCTGAATGGCTGAAAACACTGCAAATTCATCCATGCCTATCAGAACACAGCTTTTTACCAAACCCCTGCCATTCCACCCCACTCCTGTGTGCGTTTAATTCTGTCAGTGGGCCCTGACTGGATGTAATGGACACAAAGTCCCCAAAACAGAGTATTATATTAGAATAATCAAGTCTGTCTTAGAAAATAAATATCTTGGATACTTTCCTGCAAGGAGAGACCAGTCTCACTGGCCAGGGTTCCATGGCACACTTGCTGTCTGCAGTGATCCAGAGCAGAATGACCCGCACTACTACATGAAAACAGAACATCTTTGAAATATAGGCTTCTTTAAAAGCAATAAATATTTCTTGACTCTTAAGATCATCTATTAACCATAAAGCAGGAAAGGTCTGCAAGGGTTAGAGGAAAGAATCTTGGACTAAAGACTCCTAGTAACATAACCCTAAAGAAATAGGATTCCTAGTATTTACAGTTGTATTTCAGAAGCAGAGACTGTGAATTCAGCACTATCACAGCTGCTACATGCAGGCTTGCCAACAGTCAACACTGCTCAACTCAGCACGGCCGAGCGTCAGTATGCTCAGGAAGGAAATGTGGAAAGCTCTTCTGTAGTTCCATTCCTGCTTATCAGCCAGCCTAACAGAAGGCCTCACACAAAACAAGTGGAGGCCCAGTTCCTTAGAAGCAGTAAAACAAAGGTAACTACTTATATTACACAGGTCCCAACGCTGACGTCTCGCCCTGGCTCCAGGCACTCACACTGAAGTCAGGATGAAATGCCCCATTCTACGGAATGGATGTCCTGGAGTGGAAACTGTTAAATCTGCTGAACTCACAGCCCCTGGAAATGAGCCAAAGCTTTCTATGCTCTAACAGGGTTGGAGACTGGAGGAAAGAGTCTGTTAGCAGGAAGCTACACCGAGGGAACTTACACCGTAGGACCTCTGGAGGAAGCATATGGCAACTTTTCACAAAGCCCCTCCACAGAGAACAGAGACTGAAGAGAGAACAGATTTCATACATTGAAGTTTTGCCTTCTTGTGTCTCTGCTGAAGTCTTAAATTCGAAACTGTGAGCAGGAAAAGCAGTCCAGAACTATGCAGTGGTGTAGTTGAGGAAAATCCGATCTGCTGCTGAAGACAGCAATCCAAGGAAGCTCACTTGATGGAAGGAACTAATCAAAGTGAGACAAAAGGCAGAGCAGGGGCAACAGAGATATTTCTTGACGTCATTTTCCAGAATGCCTTGAGAAGGAAGAACTGGAAACAGCTTCACTGCAAGGTCTCTACAAAGGCATCAAACTCTTTGACATTTTTCTCATGGACTGCAAGCTTCTCTGGTAACGAGTCCTGAGGGGTAAGAAAGGGGCAGGTCAGAGCTCATTCACAGCAGATAAAAAGCAGCTTTAAACACACAGGCAACCCCTCTCTGGTGCTCTGTGCTCCCCTTCCTATGTGCACAAAACCAGGAGTCCTTGGGCAGCATTCAATAAGTGACCCTGAGAAGGGCACCCTGCCCACAGTGTGTTTGTTCTGTAAGAACAGTAGGTGCACTGGAGCCTCACCTTGTGCAATTCCTGCCACCAGCTGCAGCACAATAACCTGCTCGTGTCACTGCCTCCATCAAGCCACTTGCAGCTTTCAGCCTCTGGTATGTTACAATGCCTGTGAGCCCATTTCAGCACTCACCCATACATGACTTTCACCAGCCACACCAGGGTTTACCTCTGCTCAGGCTGCAAGATCAGGCCTAGTTTGCCACTAAGTTTGACACACCAGAGGCAGGATTAGTTTTGGGGGTTTCAGTGACAGCCACAGCAATGCGGTGGCAGCTTTCAGCTTGAAGGTAAACACACCAGTTTCAGGGTGTGCCACAAACAAATTTACACTTGGCTGGAAAGTATTAGTGAGGGATCCCCTTTGGGAAGGGTCTCTCTTCTGAGTACAGGAAAGACATGGATCTGCTGGAGTGGGTCTGGAGGAAGGCCATAAAAGCAATCAGAGGGATGGAGCATCTCTGCGATGAGGAAAGGCTGAGAGAGCTTGGCTTATTCAGCCTGGAGAAGCCAAGACTTGGAGGAGACCTTGTTGTGGCCTTTCAGTAATTAAAGGGGGCCTACAGAAATATGGGGACAGACTTTGTTGCTATAGGAGAAAGGTTGATGGTTTTAAGCTGAAAGAGGGTAGACTCAAACCAGATATAAGGAAGAAATCTCTTTAAGATGAGGTACTGAAACACTGAACCAGGTTGCCCAGAGAGGTAGTAGATGCCTCATCCCTGGAAACATTCAAGGCCAGGCTGGATGGGGCTCTGAGCAGCCTGATCTAGTTGAAGATGACCCAGCTTATTGCAGGGCTTGGACCTTTAAAGGTCCCTCTCAACACAAACTATTCTATAATTCTATGAAGATATAATTTTTTTCAAACTAGGAATAGGGAGAGCATTACAAACTACATATGATTCCCATAAAAAGAAACATCAGGGCTCCATACCAAGTCCTCTGCCATGGACTGTGCTCCAATGTCAATGGAGAGGCTGCTGAGTTGAGGGGGGTTCTGGAACTCACGGTAAAACGTTCCCAGGTCCATTGGAAGAATGTCATCCTTTGAAAATGCTGGTTTCTAGAACCAAAGACACTGCTGTTAATTCACATTCAGAGGCAGTGGCTTCCCCTCCACTATAATCTCAGGTAATGTCATTACCTGCTATCTGTGAACCTCTTGGCATTACAACTGTTGCTGCAATAACGCAGATTAAATAACTAAAGAACAGCCAAGATCTGTGCCTGCCTGAGCAATAGGAAGAGAACATTTCCTTGGAATCCTTTAGGCATTAGACAAGAGGATGCCATGCCCAGGTGCTGGCAGGGAACAGAGTATTTAATTTGTAGCTGTTGGTTCCAAGTTATCAGCCTCTCTGCAGTTTGGGGACCATCAAGCTCTACTTTGGAACTGAGATACATGGGTCCTTTACACCCCCAATGAAAACTATTCTTACACCATTTGCCATTGCATCAGCACCTGAAGCCCATCTAAGGTGCAGGTGATATGTGAGAGCACTGATGAGGGCACTTACAAAGTCAATCATAACAAAGTCATCATGGGTGTTCCCTGTGCTGCTGCCACTGGAGCCCTCCGAGTGTAAGCTGCCTTGTAGAGGAGATTCAGTTTCTGGGGAGTCAGGAGGATTGACCTGCCCAAGAAATCAAAGATGGTGAGTACTGATCTTGTAACCACATCTGTCTGTGTATTCTGACAGTGTGGGGACAGTTAGGAGGTTGGACAATAAACACATGCTACAGCAGGGGCAGCAAACACATACTGTTATTTGCACGTCTAGAGAGCCCAAGATTAACATGGGAGACGAAACCAAACAAATCTAAATAACTAGTTCTTTCCTCAAAATATGAAGTGTATTCAAAGTACAGAATAGCATGGATGTTGCATAAGGGATGCTGAGGAAGCACACATTATACCTCTGGAAGAGGCTTACCAGGGGGTCGTTATCTTCCAGCTCAACATTCTTGGGAGCAAACATGGCAAAAGGAATGTCTAAGTTGGCCATGGTCACCTGGGGAGATTCAGCAAACAGAATTTCACTAAGATGGTCTTACCCAGCACAGAAAAGGATACTAAAAGTCTTTGCCCAAGTTTATTTCAGCAGTTAGGCTGGAGGCTGACAACCTCATTTCAAAAAGGCATAAACCAGGGAAATTGTACTCTGCTGACTTAATGCAGACACATACCCTGAGGTGGGATTGCTGCTATACATCTTGTATAATATAGGCAAGGATTAACAAACTGCTACAAATCCAACCAATTCTCCTTCATCCATCCAAAGGGCCTAGAAGAGCATCCTTAGGAACTGGGCAGATGTCTAAGCCACCTCAGCTGAGCTTAAATGCTTGCTTACTAGTGGTCAACTGGTCTACTGCATGGCAGGCTTCCTACCAGCTTCCCCAGTTTATGAACTTGTGGTAGTGGCATTATTGTGAGACCCAAGTATCAACTGTTCCATATGCAAACAGGGTGCTGGCAAAGTGTGTCTGTCACATCCCAAAAGGATTTTATGAAAAACAAGCCTTGCAGCCGGCAGAACACACTCTCCAGTCTCCAGGGTTGTCCTAGCATTGAGTGCTTTTTGCTCCTCTGTGTAGGAACTGATGGGAGCAGCAGGGTATTGTGGTGCCCTCTGAGAAGATCTATTGTTAGTTACCTGGTTAATGGGTTTGTTGACAAAAGCTCCCACCTTCCGGATAAAGAAGGTCTCCAGAAGGTCATGTGGGGAGCCACATTTCCCTTCGCTGCTGTTTGATACTGTTTCTGTGTCCTCGCTGGGGGAGGAAAATAGAGCAATTACTGACTCATGGCACAAACAACACTGACAAATCCCATGCTTGACAGGATTCCTTTATTCTTCTGGGTTTACTCCTAGTATTGGAAGGACAACAGAAATCCGTCCTTGTACTGCAGGTTCTTCCTCAGTTACAAGCACAAAAGGGGAGTGGGACACCAATGGCATCAGATTTTTGTTTAAAGCTGGATTAAAACTATTTAGCTGAAAAGTTGCTGCCACCTGAAATAGGTTTTTCTTTTTGGAGATGGACTCTTAGCTTCAGAATGTGCATGTTCACAGCAGTTCCTGTTCATCACTATTATTTTTCAGTAATACAGTAGACACAGATCCATAGGGAGGTGCTAATGCAACTGTGATTTTCGGTTTCTTTACAACAAAATGACTGCTTAAGATCCTTGACTCAGAACTCTGTGACCCAGAGAGACTGTACAAGAAATAAACACAATGACTAAAAAAGAATAGAGGATTTCATTAGCTGAGAGGGAGGTGATTTAGGACAGTCTGAGCTAGCATTGTTTCCTTTTAAGTAACTTTGTTCATAAATAGTGAACAGATTTGCAGTCACTACAGCTGGTTTGGTAACAATTCACTTTAACTCTGGAGAATATAAGACTCACTTGAGAAGTTATTTCACTTTGTTGTTTTACAATGAGCAAATACAGTAAAGGGATTAGAAAAGATAAAATTGATAATAAAGCTGACATAACAGGAGTTGCAAGGATGTTACAGTGACCAGCAGGTGTAAGGAGGTGGGTGAGATCATTGCTTGGAGAAAGGCTTAAAAAAGGATGATGGGGAAAAAAGCCCCATCAGAGAAAACTGCTCGCTGTTTTGGGGGATGGAAGACAGTAGTTATGTTACAGACAAAGAGGGGAAGCCAACAAGTTTTATCTTAACAGGATTATATTTGGGCTAGCACAAGTGGTAGATCATCTAAAACCAACCTACCTACTAGAAGGAGTAGCTGCTGAGTAGTGGCCTCCATCCAGTGGGGTGCACATCCTCTCTTGGTCAGCTTGAGTGCCATGTGCTGGCTGGCTGGGAACTGGGGGAACTCCCCCCTCTTTGCCTGGGCCAAGCAACTGGGATGGAGAGAACAGGCAAGTTGGAGATCTCAAAATTGGGCAAACACCACAGTGTAATACAGAGCAGATTCTGTCATATTGGGAGTAAGGTGTGGGATTTTTGCCATATGGCTGGGCTCTAGCCCCCATAAGGCTGAGGGAGGTGTCAAGCAGATGGTGATCATCACAATACAATTGGTTTTATTCCCTTCCAACTCCACTTCAGGCCTGTTTTACACTGCAGAGCTCTCTGGCCTTAGGTCCTTTGCTTCAAGGAGAAGCAGGGGAAAAATAATCACATCCTCTTGCTATGACCTCACTGCCCTCTACAGCTTCCTGAGGAGGGGAAGTGGCGAGGGAGGTGCTGATCTCTTCTCCCCGGTAACATGTAGGAATGATTCAAAGCTGTGCCAGGGGAGGTTAGACTGGACATTAGGAAGCACTTCTTTACTGAGAGGGTGGTTAAACACTGGAACAGGCTTCCTAGAGAGGTGGTCAATGCCTCAAGCCTGTCATACTTTTTCCACATGACCCTACCTCAGTAAAGTCAGAATGCTGAGGATCCAGCTCCCAGACTCTGTGCAAGTTGTGCTTTCTTTATATTTACCTTACATTCTTTTCACTCCTGCCAGACAGGATACTAATGCATGCACTAGCGTCAAGGCCTCTCTGAGATGTACAAGATGACACAACTGGTTGCAATACCAGCCACGCTTGCTCTACCCTCTACAAGTACCTGGTGAGGGTGTGCAGCATTCAAGCCACCAGCAAAGAGTACAGGATACCCCATGTCAGCTGATCCAACTCCCAGGGCAGCAGGCTGATAGGAAAGACGAGAGCTGGAAAGCTAAGAAAGAAGAGAAAAAACAAAAGGGCAAAGGGAGAGGAAGGAGGAAGTGGAAGGGGAATGCCCCCAGTCTGAATAATCATCAGTCACTGAAGAAGGAACAGGAAAAGTCAGAGGTATAGCACAGCATTTCAGGCTGGCAGAAGGATGCTAGGTTTTCATTGGAATCAATAATGAAAGCTCTTACTATAAAACTTCTTACTGCAGGGGGCTAAGTCTGGGCCTTGACAAGAAAACAAGATTGGTTTCCTACACACATAGGAGAAAGCTGTGCAGGGTACAACTGACATTCAGTCACAGGGAAGCTCTGCTCTACAGCTCTGTTTTTGAGACTGAAAGAAGCATAAATGACATCATCAACTCACTAAAGAGCTTTTTCCTCAAAACAACTGCATTATCAACTGTTTGAACCCATTCCCACTGCACACTGAACAGGCCTTGAACATACGTACATATCCTCAGCCAAAGAACAGAGTTCATAAACATGCTAGGTAAAGAGAACTGGGTCTCTCACAAAGCTAACCCTTGTGAGACTACTTTAGGAATGAAGTGCTGGAAGCAGTGAAACCCAGAAGGTGCTTACACACCCCAGCAGAAATCTTGCTGGTTGGATTAAATAAAACTTCCCCATTTTAGCTTACCTGACCTCAAGAGAAACACTCTTTTCAGAGTTCTGTGTGTGATACTCCACTAACACCAATGCTGACATCATTTAGAGGGGCCTGAATGATGAACAGCAGGATATTCACATGGGGCTAGTTAAGCTGAATGGAGGACTACTGACTGTGTAGGTTCTAGGGACACTGGCTGTTAAGAGAAAACACTTAGCAATGTGCCATACTACTTGGGTACTTCACTAACAGTCTGTGCAACTGCTGCTGTTTAGTTAGGGATGCTTGGCCTGTCTTTAGGAGACCATCTATAAAGGCATTTAAGCACCCAGTGTCAACAATATGCCTGGCCCATTTTTCATTCACCAGCCTTTCTCATGCACAACATTCCATATTGTTAAATTTCTACTTTCCTGTATTTGTTCTGGCATGCTGGAATTGTATCTGGCCACGCATAACATATTCTATTGACAACTCACTTGGTGTGAAAAGGCCAGTCCCATCACTGGGACCTTCAGGGTGTCCGTCACCACAGGAGGAGGGGTCTGAAAATGTGCCTTTGTGACAGTAAAAACACACTGTGCACAGAGACAGACACACAGAGGAAACAAGGAAAAGAGAGAGAGTAAGAGAGGGGGAGAGAGAAAGAGAGAGAAGGACTTCAGAGAAGAACTATGAAGAGTTGGATGAACTGAATGCTAGTGAAGAGGTTTGGGCTGCAGCAGCCACACCTACGCATGGAGCAGAAGTCTCAGTATTGCCAGAAGCACATTCATTTTGTAAGGAACTGTCTGTTTGCCAATCTCAGTGAACCACTCAACACAGGTAATATTGGAGACTCCAGTGAACACTGAAAGTAACTGCCAGAGGCTCTGTTCCACAGCTCATTAGAACTGAACTAGATAATCAGCAAGGAGAAGGCTGAGCAGATGCCACAAAAAGCCAAGGGTATTTTTTTCCAAATGTACAAATTACATGTATTTCAATAATCTCCATCCATCCATACTCCTTATCTCCCAGCATTATGAGGCATCATATCTTGGCAGGTCTGTGCTGCACCCTTAGAATAAAGGGGACCCAGACTGAGGTGCAATTCAAACACCCTGATGTGAAGAGAGAACTCCATCAACCAGAGTGATGTTCCAGAGGTAAAGGCTGTCTCACAGAGGGTACTAATGCAAAAATGGCAATCCAAACCTCGTTCAGTCCCATACCTTCTTTCGGTCACTTTCTTACCAACAGTTTTCAGTTTAGGACAGCTTTGTTTCTGTGTATTGCTCATGGACAGACTTTCTCCTGAATTTTTGGCTACTCAACAACATAAAGACATGCTATGCAAGCTCACAGGGAGAAGGTAACAACTATTCCCTTCTATCAAGCAGGTTAGGCCTCATTTCTACTGGGAAGGCAGGCAGAGATTTGGACAATTTGCCTATAGGAAACTGCCATACAGTTCCCAGTATTTTCCTACACGTTAAGTTGTATACAGTAAGCTAGAGAAAGAAATGAATTTCTTTTTTACCCCTTCTAATCTACTTTAGAGATCACTCTGCCAAGACAACCTTACAATTCTAATTGTGGTAGCAAAGACTGGCTTTATAAATAAGCGCACAGCATATGGCAGCTATGAGCTACAGAAAAGCAAGAACGTAGGCTCATACTCAATGTGAATCCTCAAGGTTTGTCTGGTTTCATAAAACTTTTCCCCTCAGTGACAGCAAAGCTTCATGTACCCTGGGGAGATGTCAACCTCAATGTATTTACATTGTATTACTGTTAAGTAACACTGGCATGGGTCACTGGAAATTTCCTTATAAAACCTTTTGCATTTAACCCATTTTGTGAAAAGGCAGGACAAAACTTGGCCACAAACTCATCTTCTGAGCTATGTATCACAGAATAAGAAAAGCTTTATTCCATCAGACTTACTGCCCATGCTGATTAGTTCAACATTACCTGATGCCCTGTCACCCAAAAGCCACTTAGCACAAAAATGCTTCCTAAGGAAAGCTCATTTCTTAGGAAATAGCTCATTCATACAGTACAATACATTTTGCTAAACCAGTCATGCTAATTCCTCTGAAGTAGTGGAAAGACCCATAGCGAATTCCTTCAGTTTGGAGCAGCATTCCAATTATAATTCATTCTATGTTTCACATGGACACCAAAAGAGATTGAGAGTCTTTAGATTGTCTTGAAAGATCAGTAAAGACATTTTTTTGGCTGGATAACAAGGCAGGAAACATTCCTGAATGTTTAAAGCTATAGGATGACTACAAATCTGACTAAGTCTTCAAAATACGGAATTGTGGAGTCGGGTATATAAGGACAGTAAAAGCAGGAGTTAGAGTTTCTGTTTGTTTTTTTTTTATTCAGAAGGAAACCATCATCCATTCATTTTAAAATGAAAACTTAAATGAAATTTGCATGGGTAGGTGGAAGTACAGAGTATTAAGTCCTTAGTTCAATACTGTGATACCATTTTTTTTTTGCTGATACTTATTCCTGCTGCCCCAACTAGTTTTAGATGGTCCAACAAGTATGGCTGTTGTCTTTTTCCTGCTTTTCCATTCTGCACTTTGCTATAAACATTTTCCTGGTATTTCAGCATTTCTTTCTCAATGTCAGCCTGATACCTCTACTTACGTTGCCTGGCATCAATCTCTTGAGTTCCTCTTCTTGCAGCACTAGTATGTGACTGTATAAGTACATTGCTATCCTCTTCAAGCACACTTCAGCCCAACTATAGGTTCTTTGAATGTCGGTAATTTAGTCTTTCCAGTCTCCTAGCATTTGGTTGAAATTAGTATCTAACTAGGTTTCTACTCAGAGTGTAACAATATAAATAATCCCCACACTAAATTCTCATTAGCATCAGGAGGCTGCCTGTTTGCACAGTGGTTGATGTAGGAGTATGCACACTATCCTAACAGTGATTATTCTTGAAAAAGTCTGGTTTCCCTTACCTGAGATGGAGGAGAGGTGGAAAAAGATGTGGTACACACTTCTTGGGAATCTTCTACTGAGGGGTATACTGCACCATTGTCCTCACCAGCTCTAAAGCAGCAAGAAAAAGAGAAGCTTTCTGACTGAAAATACCCCTTAAAACACAGAAATAGTAAAACACACTGGGACAAACACTGCAGGGAGGTTGAGTGGAGTTGAAAGGAAAATTATGAATTGTGAGTTGAAAGGAAAATTATGAAGGGATCTCCTCTACTTGGCAGAACTGAGGAAAACAAGGTACGAAAACTAATTTTCCCCAGGTGTTCCTCTTCTTCCTCCACACAGAAACACTTCCCAGTAGCTAATGCTACTGGCTTTGGTGTTTACAGAACCATTGTCAAACAATACCACTGGTCCCAGTCTCGGTGCCCTCACATGCAATTTAGAGAAGACAAACATCTCATTGAAAAATAGAAATTAAACTCTGATGTTTCCCCAACAGAAATATATGGAGATGCATGCCTCAGGACACATAGTTCTACAGCAGAATTAACTGTTACATTTCAAAGGCAGGCAAGGTTAAACATCCTTTGTGTCCAAGTACTTCTGTAAGGAATGTGGGCGCCTACTGGGGCTTGCTGCACTCAGTTTTCTAGATTTGAGGGAGAAATGTCACCCTTCCTCATATGCTCAACCATGTCGATACGGTTTGACACTTAGCCTCCAGTCTCCCTTCCCATGCAGTCAGCAAATAGTGGAAAAGGCTTTGTATCTGGGCATAATTGATGCCTTCACCATAACCCATGACTTCAACTCATTATTTCCTCACCTGTAATTGCAGGGATGCATGGGTGAAGAGCTGGGATAGGGACGGTCCACAAAGTGATCAATGATAATCCCCATGATAGGAGGGGTCCTCTCAAACTGCCTGAAAGGCAACAAGCAATGGTGTTATTGGCTTCTTCCCCTCTACTCTCATCCCAATTCATGGCGTTTTCACAGAAAGCCCTCGTGTCTGTTACTGGGACCAGAACATCTTTACAGTTCAGCCCGGCAACTCCGAGCCTGCATCAACAATCTGGAGTTCTAGAGTCTGGCTCAGGGCTACCCAAATACTCCCTTGCTTCAAGACTTAACCATGAGAAAGAGTATTCTACATGAAGGAGAATCTTGGGAGGGAAGGATAAACAGAATGAAAAGATTTAGGGGCTCATAACACGTGGGGTTTAGTAGTACATTATTGTAAAACAGGTTCTGGCATGATCATGTTTTCTCACCTGTTTGACATGAAAGCAAGGTTGATTCTGTAAGCACAAGACAAAGTGATGGTGCCCACTGGGGTACCCACTGTCCCAACACGGACCGTCTGGAAACCTGTAAGGTTAAGAAATGATTATCAGTTTCACTGTTATTTATGTTCCATACTTCTCCTATTCTGAGGTTACATTATCTTATTTCTATACTGTTTCCATTATCCCTTGCAATCTGAACTCCAAAGGCTTGTATAGAGCCCATAGAAAAAAAAAAAAAAGCAGGACCGTGTTGCCTTGCTGTTAGGCTTCATTCATGAGATTTCTGATGTTGCTTCCCATCTTAGTCTAAAATACTTCTCTGAAATGCTTCTTGTTCCTGAGCAGATCATGGTCTTCTTTACTAGCCCTGCTCCTTATCAACATACTTCCATTCTTATTTCAGTTCTGGATCACTGGAGTCAAAATGGCAATCACCCTAGATTTTGTTAAAGTACCACCATTATACTTGTCACCTTATGTCACAACCCTTCACTGGTGGGTCCAGATAAAAAGTGTATGTAAACCTCAGACTTAATTTTCCTTATGGCACTTAGGAATAGTAATAAATGCCTAGCCAGTATGGGGAACAGTTCTGCTCTAGTTTGCGTGTGTTGCCTGATCATACCTTCTCCCAAGCCACTCAGTTGCACTTCACCAAAATATATCCTGCAGGAAAAGGAAAAAGAAAAAGTATTAAGTCCACTGGGGGCGTAACGTTATACATATCCTTATTCCTTATTTGATTTCATGAGTTGAAAGGCTAGAACTACTTTTTCTCTTCAGGAAAAAAAAACAAAAGAAGTGGATAGAATGGCCACCTTGAGAAACCCTCCAGCTACGTATCTTAGAGCAAGAGATGTCATGTAAAAAGAGAAAGGAAGATAAAACAGTAGTCTAATCAAAAATTTCTGTTTCAGTTTTTTAAGCCTCTGGCAAATCTACAGTTCAGAGCAAAAATGAGAAGTGACATAAACTTCACAGACAGGTCTGAGTCTAAAAGTGAATACTCATCATGTAACATAAAAGATTAACTGTGCTATGAAGAGACCTGCTCTTAAGTATATGCCAAAGCAGCAAGGGAGGCAAAAATGAAGCAATGGCTGGGATTTCTTTTTAAGCTCTCAGCTGTGCAAATGACAGCAAACCTGAGACTTAGAACCATCTAAATTAGCTATGCAAACATGTCAAAGACTTTTCCCAAAGCCAAAAACAAAGACTGGAGGGTGATAAGCATGAACCATAAGCCAGTCAGATCTCAGAGGCTTAAAGAGAGTTGAGCTCAGTATTCGAATGAGTAAACTGCAAGAACAACAGGAAGTGGAGCTGAAGATGCATCTTTAAAATGAAATAGCAGAACAGAGTCTGAATCTATACTGCAGAAGTATGCACTGCAGTTATGTGCAGCATAGACAGGCATTTGTCAAATACAGGTCAGACACTGAACAACTTGATGCCAATAAGCCATTTAACCTGTGCTTGCATAGAGAATTCTTATATTCTTCTCAGCATGGCAGGCAACCAACAAGACTTCACAGTCCATGCTTAAGTTTGATGATACACAGCCCAAAGTTCTCTTCTCTCAATTATCAGTAGTAGTTCAATCCCAGTAATTTGAATTTATTATCACTCATCCCTTTTTTATCACAATTACAGCTGCACTGTTCAAGTCTAGAACCTCTGCTGTTTATATTTAAATGGGGAATCTCATATTCTGCTTATTATATATATATACCTGTACAATATTACATATTCATGGCCTTGTTTCCTTGAGAGTCTGTAGGCAGGAGTTACCCTAGTTATAGCAAGCAAAGACTTCAGCAGCAGAGACAGCCTGTTGTATACGGTGTATGAAACTTTGATTTCTTTGTCACACCTAAAGAACACAAAGGGAAAAAAATGAGTCTTTTGTTCACACCTAAGCTGTTTGGGGTTTTTTATTTTATAAAATCAAAATTAGTCTGGGCCAACTGTTTAATGTCAATTTCATTGCAAAATTATAAAATAAAGCCCAAGTGTGGCTACTCGTTATTGAGCAGCTGACTGAGAGCCTACTTCAATCTAGTCACTTGTTGTAAAAGTAACTGGTGAAAAATTCCATGCAGCCTTCTATTAGAAATATCTTTTCAGTATTAAAAACATTTGTCATTACTGAGTATATGAATTCTTGTATCTGAGGAAGCAGATGTTGTTGTAATGAATGAAGAAGGAATGAAAATGAAATTACTATTTTTTCTTGACACCAATGTTGAACAGTTTGACTGCTAGACTAGACAAACGGGGGACTTCCCATTTCATCAGCTAAAATACAAACACACACAAAGCAAGTGTGAAGAATGTACTTACTTCTCATTCATTTCTAGACACCAAATTTCCAGCTCCATGGAGTCCCCCTGGATAAGAGAAAGGATGTCAGAGAAAGGCTAATTTCAGAACACACTCTTATATCTCCTTAAAGATCAACAGCAGCCACAGCTCTCAATGAAGATGTTTCTCCCTGCTCTCATCCTCTTGTAATGCAACAGAAAAAGGTGCATTGGAAGTCTCACTGCACAATTAGATCACCTGAGGGAATACCTTCCTCAGAAGTTCTTTAGGGTCTAAGAAACTAGATTTTGCTGCTTTATCATTTGTGTGTTTGGCCTCAGTTATTTGCAGTGGGTTGCTTCTGTTGATGTATTTCTTATCATTAGCATACTACCTAACTGCGTAAGTGAAGATATTTTCACACTGTCATGGACTAAAGGGCAGGAACTCTTGTAGGTGACTTCAAGATTCAACTGAAAAAAATGGCATCTATTTTGACTCAGTTCTCACCTCTGAGGTTTTGAGAGAAATCTCCACACACATAGACCTTCCAACCGCAGGGAGTTGTCCTGCCAGGGCTTTCTTTGCTTCATGAGTAACCTCTGGTATATCTTTGATTGCCAAATTGAACTGCAGAACACAGGAAATTATTTCATTTCTTTGAGAAAAGGACTAATGGTACACTGCAGACAAACTCATAGACCCATATAGAACATACTAGGTCAGCGTTCACTGAAATATTGATGAAACAGAAAATTCCCAGATGGACTCAGGCTTTTCATATTTGCAAACACTTCCTTGGTTGTTAATTCAAACATTTTTCTTGATCCTGCCATAAAAATCATGTTTTCCCTCAAGTCCTATCTTTACCCACAGAGTAGCCTGAATCTCTTCAAAGCCCATTACTATAAAGTCCTGAACTGACGAGTTGCAAACTTCTGAGAGAACAGAACTCCTCACCCCACCCCCAGCAGATCCTGAAAAGGAGCCTTAGCTGGCAGGAGCTGCTGAGAGGTATCATTTCTCTCTCCTCTCATCAGCCCTTTAGAGCCCAGAGTGACATGTTGTATGTAAACAACAAAAAATCCCACACCACTAATGAACATATTTGAATACAGTAGTTATGCTACGAACAGTTGTTATAATCTGCACGAGACTGTAACAACTACACTGTGTTCTCAACACATATGTGCACACACACATGAAAGAAACTCTGAAGAGTTAATGGAATTGCTTTAACACCCCATGACTTTACCCAGTCAGAGCCTGTTGGGGAGGATGATGATCGGGTAGAGATTTTCTCTCCAAGTCGGGCCTGGACAATCACTTGTACTGTCTGGAACAGAAAGGAAAAGATACACACTCATGTTCTGAGCTCAGCAGAGCCCTCAGCTCAGAGCCTAAGCTGGACAAATTCCAAGTAAACAAAATATGAGAGGGCTGAGCAGGATGCAGAGAAGTAGAGTTTGCTGCACTAATGTTCAGGTCTAACTGGTTTGAAATATTACAGATAACAGGTAAATACATTTCAGACAGAAAATCACGTTAAGCTGATTATTTCTCTGTAATAATATGAAGTGACTAAGCCAATTTTGCAATCAGGAGTTGCACAGTTCTTAGTAATACTGAAACAAAATTTACAACTATATCCTAAACCTGGACACCTAAACTGAAGTAAAGTATGTACATTTATAACATAGCCATTGTCAGGGAATTTATTTGCATCTGTGTACCAAGTGAGGCCAAATTTCCTAATTCAATGGAACATTCTGGTATTGTTTTTGGATGCAATCTAAAAATTGAGATAGGCTGAAAAGAAAGAGTGGAGTTCAACAGGGGATACTACCTAACCGCTGGGTGGTTCCATGTGTTGATAGAAGTTGAAAGCTAACAGAGGGGTGAAGTGCCTATAACTGATTCTATAGCAGGACTCTTCTAGGGGAAAGAAAAGGATTAGGAGGTAGGAAAAAAAAAAAAGAGAAAAATATGTTTTTCTAGTTATTCACAGGAATCTCCTAAATTTGACATTGGCTTTTCTTGCTTTCGTTTTTAGCAAAAGCAAAAAAACCCAAACAAACCCTGACCTTGCTACTCTAACCACAGCTAGCATGGGTTTTCTTAAACAATAAACAAGAGGCATTTGCCACAGGAGAAAAAGTTACCTTTAAAGCAAAAAATTTGATGAACTTGTCCAGGTCCTTCCTGTCCTGGGAACTGAGATCAGTGTCCATTGCATCTGACAATCTGAAATCTAGCACAGGCGTAGGGATGAAGTCCTCCTTCAGCTTCCTGTTTGAATTTCAAGAATTAAAAACATTTTGCCATTAGAGCAAAAGAAATGACGAGCAAAAGAAATGACAAGCAAAAGAAATGAAAGGCCTCTGCCTGTCAAAATCTTAACTAAGATCTGTGAGGGGTGGGTGTGAGGTATAAACGCACATGAACAGTTTATCTGCTCACTGCAAAAGATACTAGAAAAGAAACAACAAAGGAGACTCACAATTCAAATTGGGTACAAGTTCTCCAATTTTGCTAGCTTAATTTAGTAATAAACAAACAAACCCCAAAATACTCCAACAACCACACTGACTAGATTCTGTGCCAAGCTATGCAGCAGACATCACCATCTGCTTCAGAAATCTTCAGTTACCAGCACTGGTCAAAACCAAGTCCTGAGTCTGAAATTCTAAAACCAGCATTCCAGTGGTATTTCAGCAGATAATGAAATAAACCATTGCTTGAACAGGCTCCACAGCTTCCACAAATAGTACTTGCATTAAACCTGTATAGCTACAGATTTACCCACAACCAACTGAAAAGATAAATATTTGCCAAGGAATAGACCAAAATCCTGGGTTCAGTTCTCCTGAAAGCTCTGACAACAAATACTGAGCTCTCACATTCACACTGCCTTGTTTGTCAAAATTCAGTTGTTTCTACCACAATGAACTTCCACAGTGCCAGAGGCGAGGCAGGGCAAGGCACTAATGAGATTCCTGCCACCATGACGTCACATAGCCTGGGATAAATCACAGTTTTTCTTTCAGTTTCTTTGTGTTTAACTTAATAACCATATAAAGACCACGGGGAGGAATGCCTTCATTAGCAGCATTAATTATACTTTTTGCACATAAGCCTTCAAAGTATTCATTCACTCTTAATTCCTGGTGCTGTTTTTGTTTGGAGGCAGCTCATCAGCCTGAAGCAGCCTGTCAAGCATCACGTATTCATGGAACGCACTGCTCACCCCAGGTCTAAGGTCATTGAGCATCAGCAGCTGCTGTGCACAATGTCACTCTGCTCAGTGTCTAATATTCAAGCAAAGATTGAACCTGCAGCAATGTACAGTATTAATACACATTAAAGCTTAGTAGGCTTAGCAGGGCTGATAGCCCTGTTCACACAAAATATATACAATCTTTAGTGACTATGCACATCAGAACTTCTATTTAAGATATCTCACTTAATAGCAATAAATGCCTATTTGAAGTAGTGCTTTAGGAGCATCATCCAAGAAGGGCTGCTAAGTAAGAGTACTGCAATTTATAGAGCATTTTATAGAAAAGAGCAATACTTTCTGAATTACTTCATAAAAAGAAAGCTGGACATCTAATATCGTTGAAAGTACCCAGGTTACAGTCATACTGCATCTTATAATAACCTTATAATAATCTATAACGCAAATAGTAATTTAATTTGAGAACTAACAAGACACGTGATTCAACTTCAGATGCATGACCAAATTATTCTTTGTAACCTCCTCATCAAAAGTATTATATTTTCTTTCCCTGCCTTTACCACTACTAGAGATCACAGATCTTTTCTACTGGGGGGGACAGACAGAAATCAGCACTTAAAAGAAGGGGTAACGGGTTAAAACTTAAACAGGGGAAGTTTAGACTGGATATAAGGAGGAAATTCTTTCCTGTTAGAGTGGTGAGGCACTGGAATGGGTTGCCCAGGGAGGTTGTGAATGCAGTGTTCAAGACCAGGCTGGACAAGGCCTTGGGTGATATGATTTAGTGTGAGGTGTCCCTGTCCATGGCAGGGGGGGTGGAACTGGATGATCTAAAGGTCCTTTCCAACCCTAACTATTCTATGATTCTATGATTCTGTGACCTGTTACTATTGTCTTAACTAAGTAAAGCACTGTAAGCATTGAGAGGACCTGAGATCTACAACAAAATCTGGCTGACAGAGGCAATAAAATATCCCATTAAAAAAAAAAAGAAACACATCTTTTTCTCAGCAAGGAGAATGCTAAGATTTAAATACCAAGAGAAATTAAATTAGCTTTTAATGTGAAAAGAAGTGAGAAGCCATTTCTATAAGACCCCTGGAGAATGGTGCAAGGAAGTATATATCCTGATGTAAGGAGAGCTGTCAACTAAAGCACCCACATTTATTTGCCTTGTGGGGCTGGAAAGGAATGCTAGTATCAACTGTTACAAGATACTCAGGAACTAATAGAAGATGTTAGACTCATGGTTAGGAAAGGAAACAAAGCAGACCATCAACACGGTTCTCTGTGCAGTGTAGGAATTAGTTCTAGTGACAGCATATGCAAATATCTCTGGAGAGGAGAGAAAGAGCCACCAGAGCCACGTCTTAAATTCAGTGTTCAAAGAATGAGAGCTTCATAGTTCTGTCCTGCTGCAGCAGAATTGAGATTCTTCCTGCAAGACCTCAATTCATAAAGCTTTCATAAAGCATTCATATGCCGAATGCCAGCAATAGTTGACTTACCAGAGCCTAAAGCAGAGCAGAAAGTATCAGGCAAGGATTCCTGTGAGGAATCTGTAATTTCAGGGGCAAACTGGGACCTTGGAACTCGGCTCCTGACAAGTCTAAGGGTCATTATCTGACCAGCACCATCTCTCATTTTTCAGGAGGGCTCTAGTGATTCCCTGAGATCTGCTAAGGCTTAGGACAGAGCTCACCTTTAGACTCATTCATTGCAAAGAGCCAGGACAGGCCTAGAATTACAGCAAACATCTGATTTACAAAAATGCCTCAGTACCCTCAGGTTAGCTGCCACCAGCTGACCTAAACAAGAAGGAAATCCTTTAAACTTAGTTCCACCAAACTCATACAACTTCTCAGGTCCTGTAGCTTGCAACACCAGCACAGCTCCTTGTTAAGTGCCAGTACCTGTGCACATGCTTAGCTCAAGCAAGATGCTGTCTAATTTTATACTGCATAACCACTAGAAGGAAGTAACCTTTGGTCTAGGTTAGAAACCCACAGATGATTGATTCCCCCTCAACCGAGTACTCCCTCAAGTAAACTGATACCTCACTGCTTTAGCCGTACACAGTGGCTGTTCACAGGTAAATAAAAGCATCTTGGCCACGTGGCTTTTTGCTTTGTTTCCCTCCTCCTGCAACCCCCATTTTCATGTTTTAATATGCCTTTGCTTCCACCTTCCTCTGAACAGAAACATCAGAGAGATGTTTAAAGGAGAACTGCCATGTGTGGCTCTGTGACTAAAGCCTTACTCTTTCTTACAAGGGTAAGAGGCAGAGAAGAATACTTAACCAACAGTTTAACACCTAAGCACTGTGCCTAATACACTCTACAGGGATTTATACTCTCCTACCCTACGGAGAATGACACATCAGCATAAGGTGACGATACACTGTTTGCATGATGCAATGAACTGCAAGAGCCCTCCCCTTGGTGCAGCCCAGAGAAACTACAGCAACCAGCATGCCACGCAGCAGCAGCCTGTAACCCAGCACACCAGAGGAGCACAGAACACTTACAGTTTGTGTTTCATACGTGGGAGTTTAGTGTGTGTCTGACACTCACATACTTCAACAGGAAAGGAGCAGAAGCACCTGACACATACAGGCATCATTATCACTGCTGGGGAAAGTATATACAGGCTGTTTCCGTCATTTCCCTCCTCTGAGATTTCAATCTTGAGCAATGGCTGCTAAAACTTAAAGTCATTGTGCTTTCCTTTTAAACAGATACTTACCAATGCCAAATAATTACTCATGGTTCCTATCCCAGAATGAAATTAAAATGACCAGAAGGAAGAAACAAGAAAGGTTGTCGCTGTAAGGACAGGGCTATGGACAGCCCTCATCCCAGCTCTACATTTCTGGTTACCTGACTGTGCTCCCAAAAAAGGCTCCTGGTCCCTACGACTCTTCTAGAACCTCTTTATTAACACAGGACCCAGATCCAACCTCCAAGGATGTCCTATGTGAAGCTCCAGAAAAGCCTCGTCAAATCATGCAGGTAAATGAGAAGCACATGGAAGTTCTTGAAGCTTCTAACAGAGCGCCCTTGGTAAACAGGCTTGACTGCCAAGCAAGTTTTCCTAGAACATCCCCTTTGATGACAAGCAGGTATTTTGAGCACATTAATAAGCAACTATAAAAAGGTCTCCGTAAAGACGGCACTCTGATTCAAAGCTGAGCCTACAAGTCAGCCTCCAGTATCCTACAATTAATCTCCATTTTGCCTTCTTAGTCGGCTAGTCAGAAACCTGGGGAGAGGGAGAAGGAGGGAACAGTTCTAAATTTGAAGGTGTGCTACTCTTAAAGTTTCTGGATTTTTTAAGAGACGAGTAGATTCCAGCAGAAAAACTGTTTCACATAATATAAATACTCTGATTGAAAGGCTCTGTTGTTTACTATGTAAGTATTGATAGAGGCAACTTTTCCTGCTGATCAGGGAACAGATTTACTTTCTAACTGATTTCTAACTGATAAATTACTTCCCAGCTTAGGAAATACCAGCGCTGCCAGCTCCACTGGCCTAAAAACAAAATGAAGCAATTCCTGTTGACCGGCAGTTACATTCTGTACTTCCCTCAGGTCTAAAAATGGTGCCAGTCCAAAGGTCCATCCTCTCATTTTGTTTGTTGGGCCAAAGTATGCAGACTAACCTAGAATGTGCTTCCACATACATACACTGTACTACAACCACCAATATAATCACCAGGTCTCAACTTTTGTGTGAATACATGTTCATAAAAGTTGAGGTTATACATTATCATTTAAGCAAAGTAAGGTGATCCTGTGTGATCCTTCCAGATGTCTAAACACAGCCTGGCTCATTTGAATGACTTATTTCTTGCCAGAAGAAGGAGGGTTCTACCAGGTCAGGCCACTCCAGCAGTCATCTGGAAATGCTCTAAACATCATTTACATAGGCAACCAATTTTCAGTCCAGGCAGTAACTGACCATGTTTTTCACTCTACATTGTGCCTAGCCACACCACTTCTGAGATTTGTAAGAAGGCAGTTTGTAGGTTGAACCCACAATGTCCTTTTTCTGCCTGTTCACTGACATGAAGATGTTTCTGCTCCTACTGAATCAGTGGGGATGACTCTGGCAGTGCCCTAAGAGCCACAGCTGTGACAGGACAGAAAGATGTGCTGATCTGCAACCCCCTAATCTTTTCTAACAAGCAGCAATACACACACTACAGGAAAACTATACAATGGCTCTGAGGTTTTACTGTTTCTAATTGACTCTGAAAGCATTCTGGTTTTAAAAGACACCACTTGCAGAGGTTTCAGCAAGCCACATCCTTCCCACCAGCCGGCCAGAAAACGAAGCCTGGCCACCGCTGGGTCGGGCTTTGTCGGGCACCGACACGGCTGCAGCAAACCCGGACCCCTGCGAGTAGCGAGTGGAGACACGAAGCCTCAGCCAAAGGCTCACGACCCACGACCCGGTACCCCCCTCCCTCCCTCCCTCCCTCCCTCGCCCTCGGAGCTCGCCCTCCCCAGCCCGGGACCCCAGTCCCGTCCCGCGCCGGTACCTGCGGGGGGGCGGCAGTGCTGGCTGCGCGGGGGCTCATCCCGCGCGGAGACCCGGCTGCCCGCGCCGCTCCCCCGCCGTGCCCCGGCGTCTCCTCAGCGCCCCGCCTGGGCACGGGGGGGATACCTGCGGCCCTGGGCCGGATACCGGCGCCTCCAGGCACCAGGGGCCCCGCGGCCACTGGGCTCTGGACAGCGCCTCTCCTCCTCCTCGGTGCCGGCACGGCGGGGGGCTCGCCGCGGGTGTCAGCGCCTGCGGGAACGCGGGGCCGGGGCTCGGGCTGCCGCTGCCCTCAGAGCCGCGGCCTGCTCCGCGCCGCCATAGCCGCCGCTGTTTGTTTTCATCAGCTGCGGGAGGCGAGGGGAGGGGAGGAGGAATATGTCTGCGTGTCCGCGGCCGCACTTTCCACACCGAGCCGCAGCCGCTGCCGCTGCCGCCCCCGCACAGCCGCGCCGCACAGCACCGGGCCGGCGGGGCAGGCAGCCAGGGCCGGGATCAGAGGGGATCCCACAACCGGGAGTTCCGTGCTGTGGCGAATCTGCCGTAGCGGGCTGCGGGCCTCCTCGGGGCTGGGAGCGCTGCAAGGGGCCGGTAAGGGCCGGGTTGGCGGCCGGCGGGGTTCGGGGTTCGCTCCGCTGCCCCTCATCGCGCAGGGGCGCCCGGCGGGGTTGGGGGACGCACACGGGTACCGGGCGTTCGCGTCCCGGCCGTTCGGGGCTGAACGCGGCCGGGTCGGCGGTGGCTGGGGACGGTGCCTCCCCTTCATGGGAGCCAGGCAAGGCTGAAGAGCCGTCAGTGAGCCCTCCCCGCTTCCACCCCTTGGTTTTAAAAGCAGATGGAAGTAAAAGATTTGCTGGATATCCATAGTAAAAGGAATATGGTAACAGCCTGAAAGGCTAATCGGTTTTTACCCGGTTTTTACCCTGGGTCTTCTTCCCCCTTGCCTTAGGCAGGTGAAGGCTCTGGGGAGGTGCTGTAACAGGGGAGCCCTCAGAGGACCCCCTCGGCCATGGCCGTACCTATTGCAGTTCTTGACTGCGACCTCTTGCTGTACGGCCGCGGACACAGGACTTTGGATCGCTTCAAGCTGGAGGATGTCACAGATGAGTATCTAGTATCCACATACGGCTTTCCCCGACAGTTCATTTACTACCTGGTGGATCTCCTGGGAGCCAGTCTCTCTCGCCCTACACAGCGGTCCAGGGCCATCAGTCCAGAGACACAGATCCTTGCTGCATTGGGTTTCTATACCTCTGGCTCCTTCCAGACTCGCATGGGAGATGCTATAGGCATTAGTCAAGCCTCCATGAGCCGCTGCGTTGCCAACGTAACTGAGGCATTGGTGGAAAGAGCCTCACAGTTCATCCACTTTCCCGAGGATGAAGCTACCGTACAGCGCCTGAAGGATGACTTCTATGGACTGGCAGGCATGCCGGGAGTGCTGGGGGTGGTTGACTGCACCCACGTGGCAATCAAAGCACCAAATGCTGAAGACCTGTCCTATGTGAACAGAAAGGGTCTCCATTCTCTGAACTGCCTGATGGTGTGTGATGCCAGAGGAGTCCTCCTGAGTGCCGAAACACACTGGCCTGGCAGCCTGCCTGACTGCACTGTGTTACAGCAGGCAGCCCTGACAAGGCAGTTTGAAACTGAGCTACATAAAGATGGCTGGCTTCTTGGTAAGTCTATTTTCTACTGTTTTCTGTGGAAAGTCTATTATATACCACCTCCTTATTGAGCCTAGAGCCTCTGGGCACAAGTGGTATGTTTACTTTTGATTGCTACCCTGCAAATACCTTGAGATTCATGAGTCCTTCTCTTAGAAGTCTAGAGCAGTAACTTCCCATCTGTGTTTTATACAGGCTGATTCTTGCATGTGTTAGTTTACAGTCATTCTGTTAAGAGCGTGTTTTCAGTATCCTACACCTTTCTAAGCTGAATTATGCCATTTTTAAGTCTATGCAGGGTCCTAGTCCAGCTGTCTCTCACTGCCTTAGGTAGTAAATTAACTCTCTTAAAACTCCTCTGTGTTCTTCCGGGATTTCCCTGTGTAAAACTGAATCTTTATGTTGTTACATTTGTAAACCTGTGTTATTGTTGCTCTTCCATGCCTTCTCATGCCTCCTGTTCTAGCCAAGGAACAAAGTTATTCTGTACCAGCAGTACCAGAAAAACAAGAGATAAGAGGTGAAACCTGTGGTTAACTACAGGTGTGTAACCTGTCCTCCTTTTCACTGCCAATAGGTGACAGCTCCTTCTTTCTCCGAACATGGTTGATGACTCCCCTGCATATCCCTGAGACGCCTGCCGAGTACCGTTACAACATGGCCCATTCTGCCACTCATAATGTCATTGAGCGGACGTTCAGAACCATTCGGTCACGTTTCCGCTGCCTGGATGGTTCCAAAGGCACCCTGCAGTATTCTCCAGAGAAATCCAGCCACATCATTCTGGCTTGCTGCGTGCTTCATAACATCTCCCTGGAACACGGGCTGGACGTGTGGTCTTCACCGGCCACAGGACACATGGAACAGCCAGAAGAAGAGTACGAGCAAATGGAATCCATGGACTCGGAAGCCTGTCGTATTCGTCAGGAGCTTCTACTTACTCACTTTAGCTAACGTTGTGATGGGGAGAAGGCTTCTAACAGTTCATCTGGGAAGATACACAGAGCAAACATGCCCCTTCCTCTTCTTGAAGTCTGTAAACACTAAGCAGATCTGAGACAAGGAGAAATATTACTCTCTTCATTTCAGGCGGTTTTCTGAACTTCTCTCAACCTCTCTAGAGATGCAGCTCAATCGCTGAGTTTTTACGGTTGTGATGTTTAAATTCCCCCCTTTCACCTGACTTAGAGAACAATAACTAATGTGGGATGAGTGAAGAAACTTGGGAAATTGTCTTTGGTAATGATGAAAACTCTAGTTACCCTTGCACTGTTTTACAAAGCAACAATTCTATGCCACTTTCTAACTTAAACCAGTTCTGATTGTTTTTTAAATGGTATTTCACACAAATTAAACTTCCATGTGGGCTCATGCCTACCATGAATTCATGAGCAGCAGAACAAACTTTTTGTTTGCAGGTAGAAATTCTTGCTAAATACCATTTTGCAGTTCTGCACATCTCCCAAAACCCAGCAACTCCTCTGAAAGCAGCATCTGTGTTCTGTGAGGGGTTTGCCTTTTTGCCTGGTACACACTAGTGCTTGCTCGTACCTAGAAGGTTAAGAAGGACTGAAGGTTTCTTTTAACCAGACAGACTGGAGAAGATGTGAAGCTGTGGTTGACTCTGTTGGTTACTGAGCACATATCAGGATGTGGGCTACTGAATGTAACTCTAGTTCGTGCTAGATATGTCTGCCACAACAGAAAACCACTCACCTTGTTGGCTGCTGTAAAAGAAATGCCAAGGACTGGCTGGGTCACATGAATTGAACTGATTGCAGAAGTTCTTTGTTTAGATCAGAGCTGAGGAACATAAAGGCAGCTCTTCCACTGCTGGCAATCAACCCATTCTGTGGAAAAAGATGGCTAGCACACACAGCTGCTGTTGGCACAGGACTGGGAAATTTCTTGGCAACGTTCTCTTTCCAAAAGATGGAAGCGTTTCCAGGGATCTCTTGACAGCAGTCAGAGAAAATTTGGTTTCATAGATTTTATTGTTTACTGGGCAGTAAATGAAACGAAGTGGTAGGGAATGCAGATGCTGCAGGAAGGTAGCAACTTAAAGTAGCAGTGCAACCATCTGGCACGGCAGGGCTGTCTGTTCTTGTAGAGGAAATGTGCCTGGATCATGCCCCATGTTTGAGGAATAAGGAAGTATGGAACACATTCCCAACCAAGTGTAGGATGGAGATGCAGGATTGTCCTACCAGGTGATGGCAGTGAGCGTTTTGCTATCTTACTGAAAACCAAGCGTGCTTTATGGTGTCTAAACAAGATGCTTTCATAAGCCTTGATGAGAACTTTAAAATATACAGCAAACTGAGATGTAACTATTTTTTTTACACACCCATCCATTAGATATGACCTAAGAGCTGCTCTTGCTTACTGTGGCAAAAATGCTGCTCCTTTTACCTAGAAAGAAACACACAAGCATTGTTTTCTAACAGGAAAAAAAAGCATTTTTAGGGTAAGAGTTGTTGCCTGATGGCTCATAATTATATTTGATGGTCTGTGCTAAAAATACCAATGTTCAGACCTAAACACCAGCAGACACTGAATGAGCTGCGTGGGTGACGCAGAGGTCAAGTGAGACTTGGATGCATGTAGGTACAAACACCAGCATGTAGGAACAAGCTGGAGTTTCTCAACTTAAGCTATGAATAGCTCGTCTCAGTGTGTGCTGGGACCAGAGTGAACTGAAAGTGGAGCCACTTCCTGGAACACGTGCTGCTGGGTCTTGTCTTCCTTCTGCCCCTGTCAGCTTTGGTGGAGTTTAATTTCAAAACTCATCCCACTGCTTATCAACTTGGGCAAAAACTGCATCAGGCCACACCAGACAAAATGAGTCTACTGTTCTTCTTCTAGCCAGATGTCAGTACCCTTCAGTTCACTTGGGAAAAGGAACCTCCTCATCTGGAGGACAGTTTCTCCTGTATATTCCTAAGCAGCTTCCTTCAGAACAATTCACCTAGACTTCCTCTTTTCCACTGGGCTTAGACAATATTTAAATTGCACAGCTGAGAGTCACGTTTCTTTCCTGCTTTCTCACTCCCCTGTACCTTTGCCTCATCTTGCCAGATGCATTCTTGAATACTTCCAAGTCTGTGCATTATCAGAGCTTTGTAAAGTTTACCCTGACTATATAATGTCTGCTGATTCTCAGTCATCTGTTGGAGGATGATGGTGACTGACTGTCCAAGGTATTGCCATTTTCACTATATGACTAAACTCCTTGTGGAATCCCATCATCAGCCCTTTTCAATTTTCCCTTTAAGATACCTCCTTTAAGACTGTCTTGCCATGCTGCAGGTTGCCTTTGCTCACTCCAAGTACAGCAAACCTCAAGCCCTAAATTCCAACTTGTCTGGGCCTTTTGACTCTTTCTTTCATGGTTAAGTGGTACCAAGCACCCTGGCTTGCTTAGATTTTCCTCTCAGCCTTCAAGTCTGTCTCTTCCCCCCTATCGAGCTCTCACTTCTCCAATAGAATGGTAGAATAGTTTGGGTTGGAAGGGAACTTCAAAGCTTCTCTAGCTCAACCCCCCTGCAAGGAGCATGGACATCTTCAACCAGATCAGGTTGCTTAGAACCACATCCAGCCTGGCCTTGAATGTCTCCAGGGATGGTGCAACCACCACCTCTGTGGGCAACCTGTGCCAGTGTT